AGCCATTGTCACCCATCTCCAGGACTCAGCTACCCACTACCAATGGACCCTCTCTATGTCCCCAAACCAAAACTAAATCCTCATTTCCTTTCCCTTTATCATTTACTCATTTCTTATTTTTACAGCTACTCCCCAACAACTGCCAGCACACCCATAGCAGCCGAACTGGGTTCCATTCCCAGCATCCCATATGGTCCCCTGAGTACCATTAGGAGTGATCCCCGAGTGCAAAGCCAGCTATGCCCCCAAAGTGCCAGCACACCCATATCTAAAACTTTCTGCTCATTCTGAACTTCCCCCTTTCTCTAGACCCCCGTAAGTCTCTAACTCTAGAACCTCACTTCTCTCTTCCTTTATATCCTGTCCCCTGCAGTAAAGTCATCATTTAATTGGTCTCCTTCCCATCTCACCTGTATTTTGTTGCCATCAATTCAGCCTCAACACTCTGAGCTTCCCTCTCAAAAACAGGCAAAACGCAGAATTCTGAGGCCACCGGCCCTGAGTCCCTAAACGATCTAACCCCCATGATGGTTTTATATGAAAATCTCCTTTAGCTTCGAGACCTACAGAAGAAGGAATTTTCCCATTCTGTAAATAGAAAATTATATGATTCGAACTCCAGCTCTGCATCGCTCATGAGACAGTGGGTTCTCTGCCAGAAGGGCTGGTGCTGGCACTCAGCAGGCGCTCATTAGATAGGAGCCCTGGCACTCAGGGCCCTCTGTGACGGGAACACAGCATGACTTTCCAGTTTTATAGCCTACCATTCTACTTGTCACATTCTTAGAAGGGATATCCAAACACAGTCCCAGGAATAGTGGCGCTAAGCATCCCAGTGGGTTCGTTAAAAACGCAAACTTGGAGGGGCTGGAGTGATAGCATAGTGGGTAGGGTGTTTGCCTTGCACGTGGCCGACCCGGGTTCAATTCCCAGCATCCCATATGGTCCCCTGAGCACCACCAGAGGTAATTCCTGAGTGCAAAGCCAGGAGGAACCCCTGTGCATTGCTGGGTATGACCCAAAAAGAAAAAAAAAAGAAAAAAAAGCGAATTTGGAGGCACCACCACAGACCAAATGAATAAAAAATCAGAAGTGGCACTGAGTGACCTGCATGTTCCCAAGAAGGTCAATGAATGCTGATGTTTGGAGGATCACAGTCCTGGACTATTTCACGACCTGATTAAGCTTTAGAAGATTTGTAATTTCCCTGGGCTCGAAACACCTCCCATGCATGGATAGGTTTGTGAGAAAAGGTAGCTTTACTCTGTGCCTTTTTTAACCTTTTTCCTGGTGTTTAGGGGCTCGCAGGACTGCTCAGGGGATGACACAGAGCCAGGGATCAAACCGGGGCCTCCTGCATGCAAAGCCTGTGGTCCAGCCCAGGCCTTAAGTCACCTCTCCAGCATAGAAAACACAGGTTCAGCCTGAAAAAAAAAAAATTTCTAAAACGCCTCCCCAGGCAGCCTTCCTGTCACTGAAACCATGCCTTTCACATATACTTGGCATTCAGAAAAGTCAACTCAATCTTAGCAATAATGCCCACATTCTATGATATATAATTCAACTACAACTGTGCATATGTTAGGCAAAAACCATGGGCCATCCACCTCCTAACGCTGGAAACTTGCGACAAATTTTGTCATTTGCGGGGGGGTCTGGAGAAGAGATTGCTGTTCTCCGTTTCAAAGCCGAAAGAGCTAGAATTTAATGACCCAAATTTTCCACGGTTGAATGAAGATACTTCTTGATACTCATCTGAACAATTATATTTGGTGTCAACTCACATAATGGGTGCTGGGTGCCCAGTGAGGCTGGGAGCTCGTGCGGGCAAGTGAGGACCAAGTGAGGACCTGCTTGCCAAGGACCCACCTGCCCCAGGCTGGTTCCCTGCAGGAGCAGAGGAGGAAGAGATGCCCGTTTCCTCAGGCTGGAGAGAAGCCACCTACAGCCCCAGGTAAGACTAACCCCTCTGAAGGGAAAATGCAAGAAGTCATTAACTTAAAAATGAAAACACACTCGTTCACTGCCTTAAAGAGAAAAACCACACATTGTAAAATCCCAGAGGTAAAGGCCCGGAGATGAATGTAAAATGCTTCTGGTGTTTTAAATTATTATTATTTAGCTATGCTCAGAGATCTGTCCTGGCAGGGCGGGATGTGGGGACCATATATGGTGCAAGGAATTGAACCTGGGTTGGCTGCACACAAGCCTTATCCTCCGTACTATCTCCTGGCCCCAAACTCATTTTAAGGAAAATGGGTGTGTTTTGAGTACTGAAGTTAATGCCTCCGGCTCGAAGGAACTCATGTTTCAAGTTCGATTCCTCTGCCCCACTCGGAGAGCCCGGCAAGCTACCGAGAGTATCTCGCCCACATGGCAAAGCCTGGCAAGCTCCCCGTGACATATTCGATATGCCAAACACAGTAACAAGAAGTCTCACGATGGAGACGTTACTGGGCCCACTCAAGCAAATTGATGAACAATGGGAGGACCGTGACCGACCATGACCGTGACCGAAGTTAATACGTCATCAGAAAGACATTATTAGGAACCAAGTACCAAAATCTAAATTATGTTGGCATGATCTTTCTTTTGTCAGCAAAGAACAGAGTTTCAGAGATCATACAACATTCCCAAAGTCACAGATTTAAGCAAAGGCACCACTATGCCTACTAATTACACCCAGGCCTTCTCGTAACAGCATTGAAATGCCCCACCCAGGGCACCACGTTACAAGCCAGTGCTCTCCTGCTGTCACCTAACACGTGCCATCTCATGTCTGGGCCCAGCAATGGTTGCTGAGGGCTCAGGGCGAAAGCATGTAATAAAGTCAGGCTGGTGGCCCCCGGCTCATGTTGGGCTTCCCACTTAGATGATACTCAACTGTGGCCCTCGGCTGAGAAATGCTGATTTAGGCAACACCATTGATTTGTGATAAATCCAGCCTCTTAGCAGGGTGTTAACCACCTGTATCAATGCTTTGGCCGGTTCCTGGGAAATATGGTACAACCACGACATGCCCAGGAGAAAAATACGACTTCAGAGACAGAGAATGCCTTAAATGTGGCTGACCCAGGGTGATCCCTGGCACCCATATGGTTCCCTAAGGCCGACCAGGAGTGATCCCTGAACACTGCTGGGTAAGGAGCAAACCTCCACCCTAACGTGATTCAATCAGCACCTTAACATCTGGGTGTGGTCCTTTAGAAGTTCACAAGCACAACAGGCAAATCTCAGCACCGCAGGTCCTCAAATAAGGTCTTTTCCTTCAGTCACGTTGCTCTTACGCTGATGGGAAAACACTGACCAGCTGGGGTCTAGTCTGTGGCAGCTGCCCACCGACCTCAGGTCGGGGGGTAGGGGGGTTGGCTCTGGGGCTCTGGTTCCCCTTCGCATCCCCAAGATGTGTGGCTGATTCATGGGAACATGCCTCCAGTATGTCCAGTATCCCAGCAGGCGTGTGTGTGTGTGTGTATGTGTGTGCGTGCGCACGCGCGCATGCAGGGGGTGACTGCAGGCAACCTGCACTGAAAGGGGAGGGCGCTAGATCCCAGGGCTGGTTCTCAGAGGTCCCAGCCACTGAAATGGCATCAGTGGGTTGGAAAGTAAATCCCCATTATTATTTACTATTAAAAAGTGTTTTGGGGTTTGGTTTCCGAGCTTGGGGATTTCTTGTGGCCAGCAATATGCCCTAAAGAACTTATGTCTTGTTTACAGCAATTAACTGAGGGTCAGATTGGATTTGTTATGGATCATTTCACTTAGAAACGGAAGTTTCCAAGAACTTATCCAAGATCCAAAGTGAGGACTTAGAAAATAGGCAGCAGCACTAGCTAACAGAGGAACTCTAAATGCGGGTTCACAAATGAGAAAAATCTCCAGAAAGCATCATTGTCATTGTTTTGTGAGTCTCACATTACACGCTGGAACAGTATGCAGCTAACATTGGAACGACTTGGGTGGTGCAGAAAACCTGAGTATAGCTCACAGTCAGAGATCTGGTCTGCACGATCTCCGCATGGGGAAGGAGCTGACCAGCGTCCACTGTTGGCTGGATTTAGTCGTGCTGCCTCTGACAATCACAAACGCCCACTGGATCCGTGGGCCTCCCTGTTCCACTCAGCCATGGGACAAACGTATTTTTAATTCTGGTTTTAAAAACTCCCAGAAAAGCTCTTATCTTAATATTTAAAAAAAAAGACTGAAAAGCCAAACCCCATTTCAATTAAGAAATACCCTGTATATATTCTAGTTATTTTAAGTGCTAACTATAATACAATTTTAAAAGAGTCTTAAATACAGCTGGAATAAACTTTTGAGACCATGCAATCCAATACTATCATCATGCAAAAGAAAAAACTAAATTTTCCGGTGGACATTATTTTTAATATAGCAAAAATGTTGATAATTCATTGGAATGTTTAGATGGATCAAACAATAGCCTTCTGAATATTCTTTCAAAACTTAAATGAACATAATCATCTTGAGGTACACACAAGAATGTACATATATTTAAAATGCAAAAAAGTACCCCAGAAAAATGAAAAATTTGTCTTAAATTAAGAATTACCTTAAATCTTTAAGATTTACCAAAGAAAAAAATGGACTCATCCAGTAAGAAAAATTATCAACATTACTGTAGAAAAAAACTATACATCTATATACTACTTTTGCTTCTCCCCAAAATTCAAACACGGTCTCATGCAGAGTAGAAAATAACAGGCAAGAAAAGGTCAAGTCTGTCTCCAGAGGATGACTAAAGATTCTGAAAATATCAAGCCTTTTTTATTATACCTCCACAAGAAACAAAGTTTCTAACACCGCCATTAAAGAAACCCAGGACCAAAAAGATGGAAATTGGAAAATGGGGCAGAAAACGAGCAACAACAGTCTGAGATTTCGAGTGCAGCTGAAAGTTCCATCATGCTTTGCTGCAGGGAAAAGTCAAAAGAGTCACAGTCCTGCTCCCCGCCCCCCTGCACAGATAAAGTGCAGCCTACCTGTTGTTGTTCCGACAGTTCCGACAGTTAAAGCATTCCAGTGGGTCCGTCTGGGGGACCGCAGTGTACACACCACCACCCTTGATGGAAGGAAGCACAGGGAAGAGGAAGCAAGCAAGTGAGATTCATTTACCAGTCACCCAACTATCCCGTCTCTCTAGAGGCTGCAGTGACAAATGGCTACATGACTGGGTTTCTTTGGGGGTAGCTGGGGGTACACTCAGTAGTGCTCAGGAATTGCTCCAGGCTTGGTGCTTGGGGGCCAGGTGGCGCTACTGGAGCTGGAATCCAGGCTTCCTGCATGCAAAGCATGGATATGTGATCTATTTTAACCTGCTCCCTGAGCAATGTTTTGCTTATCATAATTTACCGATATGAGTAAATGAGCTCTGCACAAAATAAAAGAGTACTCTAAAAAACGTAGCTGTTGTGTGTTTGTTTTCAGAGGTTTAGTTTTTTCCCTCACTCCCGCCTTCTGTGTCTCAAACCAAATGGGCCCCGAATGCACTAGCCATCAAAACCTCCTATTCGTCTTGACTTTTTGAGCACTCGGGGAACAATTTTATATAATGCCAGTTGGAGCAACAGGGTGGAAATGTGAATGATGTCACAAGATAAACTCATCTTCATTTTCCTGTAATTATTTCGAGTAGGGCTGTTCGCTTGACTACACTAAGTATTAAAGCATGTTCTATTTTTCCAGATGGATTAGATTCTCGGCCAGCAATGAGTTGAGGGGAGCATTAATATTTTGATGTTGCTTTTGGCGGAAACCGCCCAGCAATTAAGAAAAATGCCCAGAATAACACATACCTCATTGCAAAATGTTCACTCGACAGATACAATGGCAAGAGATTTTTTTTTTTTTGAAATTGAAGTTAAGACTGGAGAGAGTCCTGTGATTCGAGGGAAAACACTAGCACTGCGTTTGATAAGGCTGGAGAAGGTCCCACCGCACCCCACCCTGTCAGGCCTTCAACGTCAGGGAAAGGTCAGGCAATTGTTTTTCCCAGAATACTTTCCATTTCTCATCTCATAACAACAGCCAGAAGAGAAGCAAACCAAAAGCACTGAAAATTTCTCGGGACATTCCTGATCCAACCCGTAACAGGAACTTTTCAGAAAACATTGAGAGAAAGAATATCCCCCTACTTAACTCAATCCATGATGATAGCCTCTAGAGGTTCCTAAAGCAAGTTGAACAACTTATAGGGCAACATACTTATCTGAATCACGAAACACAGTGGGCACAATTCACTAATTCAGTGATTCTTATGATCACCAGGATTTAAAAACAACAACAACAAATTCCAGTCCCTCCCCTCCCACTACAAAGACTAAGAAAAATGACAGGGTCTGGAGAGGTAGTACAGGAGTAGGGTGCATGCCTTGCACATGGTCTACCCGGGTTCAATACCTTGCATCCCATGTAGTCCCCTGAGCCCACAGGAGTGACTAATGAGTGCAGAGCCAGGAGTAACCCCTGAGCACTACTGGGTGTGGACCCCAGAAAAGAAATCAAGCAAACAGAAAAACAACTGAATATAACTGAAACTGTTCCTTAAGGGGTAATTATTATTTCATAGCAACCCATTGCTCAAAACAAACAAACAAGGCACTTTGTTCAAGTGCTAAAACAAACATCAGACTTATTCTTTCTTCTCACAGCGACAGCGTGGGCTGGCCAAACTGTAATGCCTTCTCCTTTAGTTTCTTGGACAATATGAAGAAGTTTAGACTAGGATGATGACAAAAAAAAAAAAAAGAAAAGAAAAAGCTTAGAAAGTCTAAATACAAGTCCACACAAAATAATGAACTCATCATATTCTTTGGGTGAGGACATGCTCTAAGGCAAGGGGACTTCTTCTTTCCCCTACACTATATTAAAGCTAGGTCACATGAAATCATAAAATTTCCAGCTTTAAATTATATTCTACTTTTAGTTCTCTAAAATTTTAAATAAGTTTTTTATAAAAATTTATAATTTTTTTTCTTTTTGGGTCACAACTGGCAATGCACAGGGGTTACTCCTGGCTCTACACTCAGGAATCACTCCTGCTTGGGGGACCACATGGGATGCTGGGAATCGAACCCGGGTCAGTCGCGTGCAAGGCAAACACCCTACCCGCTGTGCTATCACTCCAGCCCCAAATTTGTAAATTTTTATACTCTAAATTTTTAAATAAAATTCAAAGTTACCCCAAAATTCTATGCCTCTTGCAGAGACAGGGAGATGGCTCAAGGGTCAGGGGTGCATGCCTTGCAGGTTGCAGGACCGATGGCCAATCCCTGACACACCAGGGCCCTGAGCACTGCTAGGTGCAGCCCTGGAGGCCCCAAGTGCCCACAGCATGGAGCATTCCTTCAGATACCTGCCACTCCCCAAATCCTAAACATCCCCTCTTGTTAGCTCAGGTGGGTTATGGCAAATAAAGAGAGAATCAAAACAATGGCAAAAACTAGACAAGAGCTTAATCTGATCAGCTAGACAAATCATCCACTGGATCAAAAAACAGTGTAAGAAGGGCTGGAGCAATAGTACAGTGGGTGGGGCATTTGCCTTGCACGTGGCCGACCCGGGTTCGATTCCCAGCATCCCATATGGTCCCCTGAGCACCTCCAGGAGTAATTCCTGAGTGCAGAACCAGGAGTAACCCCCATGCAGCACTGGTGTGACCCAAAAAGCAAGAAAAATAAAAGTGTTAAGAAATCAAACTTTCCGCGCGGCCACTTAACATCTCCTTATATACAAAGTGATCAATGGAAAGTAAATCATCCAACATTTCTCCCTGAAAATCAGGCTTAACTCTTTTGCAAACCACAACACCCAAAAGGAGAGAGAGAACAAAGGGGAATGCCCTGCCACAGAGGCAGGGTGGGATGGGGGGTGGGGGGGGAATGGAGGGTGGGAGGGATACTGGGATCCATGGTGGTGGGAAATGGGCACTCGTGGAGGGATGGATATTTCAAATAAATAAATAAATAAAAAAGAAAGAGAGGGATAGACATAGAAAGACTGCATTCATCTGGGGAACATAAAGTAACAAAATAGGAGACTAACACCCAAGAATGGCCAAGATTAGTACCAGGAATTTTGCTCCATGGCTTAGAAGCCAGCCACACATGCTAGGGGGAAAGGGAGCTCAGATAGAGAAGGGAGCACCAAATAAAGGGTGTTGGGAGGATCCTTCAGGATGGGAGAAGCATGCTGAAAGTAGACTATAGACCAAACATGATTGCCACTCAATGCCTCTTTTGCAAACCACAGCACCCAAAAGGAGAGAACAAAAGGGAATGCCCTGCCACAGAGGCAGGATGGGATGGAAGCATGGAAGATGGGAGGGATACTGGGATCCGTGGTGGTGGGAAATGGGCACTGGTGGAGGGATGGGTGTTTGATCATTGAATAATTGAAATCCAAGCACAAAAATTTGTAAGTCTACAACTGTACCTCATGGTGTCTCACTAATAAAAATTTAAAAATTTTTAAAAATATCAAACTTTCTATCATGCTAAGCGAAATGAGTCAGAAAGAGAGGGATAGACATAGAAAGATTGCATTCATCTGGGGGATATAAAGTAACAAAGTATGAGATTAATACCCAAGAATAGCTGAGATCAGCACCAGGAGGATTACTCCATAACTTAGAGGCCAGCCGGGTATCCTAGAGGAAAGGGCTATTCAGATAGAGAAGGGAGCACCAAATAAAGGATGTTTGGAGGATCCTCCCAGGAGGGGAGATGCATGTCGAAAGTAGACTATGGACTGAACATGTTTGCCACTCAATGCCTCTTTTGCAGACCACAACACCCGAAAGGAGAGAGAGAACACAGGGGATTGCCCTGCCACAGAGGCAGGGGGGGATGGGGGGGTGGGGGTGGGAGGGATATTATCCATGGTGGTGGAAAATGGGCACTGGTGGAGGGATGGGTATCTGATCATTGTATAATTGAAACCAAAGCACAAAAAATTGTAAATCTACAACTTTAAAAAAAATAAAATAAAATAAAGGGGAAAAAAAAAAATCAAACTTTCTAGCCCAGAGATCCTCTTTAGTCGACCTCCATCTAAAACATGCTTGTCATTCTGGGCCCGTTTCAAAAAGGGAACAATCAAGCTGGTCAGCCTGAAATAAAGTTGTTCGAGAGGCGTATTACTCCATGTGGCTAGAAAATATTAATATTATAAAATGCAAGAGTCTTATAGGTAACCCCGGCAAGCATCCTGGGTAAAAGAAATTCCTGGAAGGAAAGGTTACCCTGGAGGGCTGGACACACATTCCCCATAGCAAGGCAATGCCTCCGAGCCTGGCAGTTTCACCTTGACTTTCACTTGGAGGCTACATGGAATCTGATCTTGAAAATCAGAAACCTCAGTGCCATGTGTGATGCCAGGAACTGAGGGCAGGCTGCTTATTTAAAAACGCACACATGCCTCAGACCCACCATGGTCTCCACCACCGGGGACTTGAAGTCTCCACTCCTGAACTTGCTTCCCACAGCGACATGATCTGTCTGGTCCCTTGAAATACCCACTTTTTTGCACTACATGCTAACAGAATCAGTCCAAGGGCAAGGATTTGACCAATGGTTGGTCCAGGAGCAATTCATCTAAGAGTTCCCAGTCTGTTTGTTTTGGTCCGTCAGTGTCAGTGTCAAATATTTTATTTTTGCTTTTTTGGGTTATACCCAACAATGCTCAGAAGTGTAGCTCTGCACTCAGGAATTACTCGTGGTGGTGCTTGGTGGCCCATGTGGGATGCCGGGTATGGAACCCGAGTTGTCTCTTTGGAAGGCAAATGCCCTACCCACTGTACTATCCCTCTGTCTCCCAATGTGCTAAATATTTTAAAAATACCAACTGAATGGATAACCAAAAGCACATAAAGATCTCTCTGGAGCAAGAGCTGGTCAATGATGCATAGTCTGGCCATCCCAGTTGAAGAGGTTGTGAGGTTTCTATATGGAACAGGGTCGACCCCACCACCCTGTCTTGTCCCTTGGCACTCTGGGATGCAGGGAAGGCTGTTTCTTCTTATTAGGTCTCTTACATTCACCAGATGACGAGGATGTTCAAAGGCCACATGCGTCCTGCTGAGAGAGTTTGCATGACCGGTGTACAGCCCTCCATTTAAGGCCCCGTTCATGATCCCGTTGACTCCATTAGGAACCTTGTGGTGAAGATGGGAGCAGCCATTGCTGAGACCCCCATTGCTCCGGAAGCTTCCATGAACATTTCCATTGATGCAGTTGGTGCCAGGCAGGGTGGTGTACTCCACCATCTGCCCGTTGAGATCAGATCCTTGATAGAGATATCCTGGGGGGTCATACTCTGTTGGGAGAGAACAGAAAAGGAAATTATAAAAATCCTGAAAAGAACAATCTTTTTTTTTTTCTTTTTTGGGTCATACCCGGCATTGCACGGGGATTACTCCTAGCTCATGCACTCAGGAATTGCTCCTGGCATGCTCAGGGGACCATATGGAATGCTGAGAATCAAACCTGGGTCGGCCGCGTGCAAGGCAAACGCCCTACCCGCTGTGCTATCACCCCAGCCCCCAACAATCTTCTTTCTTGCTTAGAAGTCTTATTTATGAACCACTAAGACACCAGCCAACACACTGTAGCAAAACACCCCCAATGGATCAACAGAAAGTCTCCTTGTGAGATGTGCAGTGAAAGTGAGGCTGTGACTTCCTTTCCAGGGTGTTGGCAGCTGGAACGCTGAGTTAATTATGACTCTGCTAATGGAAAGAAAAATTAACTGGAGCGAAATGACTCAAAAGAGAATTAATAAATTGTGCTAGCTGGAACTAGCTGGGGTAAATGAGAGTGTATAAACTCCCACATACTTCAAAGAGCTTAAAGAGATGGTCTGAAACGGCAAAAACAGCGTTTCTTCGTGGAAAGAAAGCACCCATATAAATTCTGGCTGGGTTAGGAGGCACACTTCAAATAGATGTTTTGACACAACTGTTTCAAGTAAAAGTTCGGAGGTGTATTCCCATCCTAGGATGAGCAGAGTTGGGACACCCCACTCAGAGTGACAGAGGAATCGGCTCCATTCCTTCCATTCAAAAGCGTTAATGCTGCGGCCTCAAAATCCTCATTTCCACAGGCAAAGTGGGTAGATAGAGTTAGGAGAAGTCAGACGCCCCCGAGGAAGTACAGCAATTAAAAACTGTCCAGATATGTGTCTGGAGTCTGGAGCACCTCTCCAGGGGGTCCTGGAGTGCCCTGAGACTGGGTGAGGCACCTCCCTCCCCCATCACTAAGCTCCTTGCCCCATGGGGCTCCTGCCAGAAAGCTCACTGCCCGTCTCCTGCAAGCTGGCACACAGGAGAGCAGAGGAGGGAGCCCCGTTTCCCAACACGTCCCTGCTGCCTCCCGCACAGGGCCTGGCACATGGATGGTCATCCGGGAGTGTCTCCTGAACACACGAGGGGGCGAGCGCTGACACGGTTATTTCTAAACCACTAGTGAGTCGCCAAAAGAAAACAGCCTTGACCAGATTCACCTCGCTCAGACTTCCTGCTCACACAACGGAAGTCAGCGGCACTGAAACGGTTTGGAAGTGACCCCGTGGAACCATCGCCAACCACTGCGCATAATTCTCTCCCCTACTCCTCTCTTGGGAGGAAATCATGTTTTCCAAAGCTGGTTACCCGAAAGACAGCCTACGTGGGAACTGGTGGGTAGCCGCTGGGTTTCCTGCTCTGCTGGGGGTGGGGGTAGGACCTGCCTTTTCTTTCCTTTTTTCCTTTTGTGTGGTTTTGGGGCCACACCCAGCAATGCACACTCACGGCCCTGCACTAAGGGATCACTCCTAGTGGGCTTGGGGGGGCCACACATGGAACCTGGTACATGCAAGGCAAGTACCACACCAAGTGGACTACTGCTCCAACACCATCTCTGCTTTTTCTTAATCCCTTATTTTGAGAGCCAGGGGGGAAACACAAAAAAAAATTTTTTTTTTCTTCTTGAGAGAGACTGAAAACCCTACTTGATCTGACTATTCTGTTTCAGAGCTGGGGTTCTGGACAGGTAGAAAAATCGAGGGATCTGTGTGATGCCCAGGTAGGGGGAGGCAGGGGGCAGCCTGGGGATGATGTCCCAGTTGTCCTGTGTCCTATAGTGACAGGACCTTGGAAAATCATTTACTTGCTGCCTCCCCATCTTGCCCCCCCCCACTCTGCTGGCCAGGCCCGTGCCAGCACCAGCTCCAAGCACATGTGCCAAGGGTTCGTCTGCTTTGGTGGTCTGGCACCGGCAGATTTTGCCAGCACTAAGTCAGCTGTTTACTTGGAGATCTGCTTAGAGGGGGGCCGTGCTGTTTACTTCTCCTGGGCCTGTGATGCTCGTCCAGCTCTGGCTGGCAGCTTAGGCTGTTGGAAAAGTCACCTCTTCCGAACAAGTTGTCTAACGGGCTTTAGACCTGGACACTGGAGTCACCGAAGTGCCTGCAAGCTATATTCGCGCTGACACTGTTTTTCTCCCCAGCTGCAAGGGAAAGTGAGGGGAGCCAGGGGCAGCACTCACTCTGGACGGTGCTCTGCTGGCGGTTCTTCCACAGGCACATGGCGATGAAGATCATGAGGATGAGGACCATGCCGCCCAGCACACAGCCCACGATCAGATACAGCATATCGCTGCTTCGGGCTGGGCTGGCCGCGGGCCCCACGGGTCCACCCCCGCCAGGGGCACTCGGAGGGGTGCTCAGGTCTTTGACAGGATACTCGGAGGCTCCGGGAACACGTTTCACTAGTGGGAATGAAAAGGGAAACATGATGTGAGGAGGGACATGGGCCCTGAAACTTCTCTAAGAGGGGGGCCGGTGAAGGAGGGGAGCCGGCTTGTTTGCACTTGCTACTCAGCTGATCCAACCCCCAGTGACTCACAATGAAGGCTCCCAAGTGGGGGAGCCTGATGACCCAACGTTTCTGTCCACCAATGCTACAGAAATCATCAGAGACACAGAGCAACTGGTCTAACGCAAACCGTTGGGTGACTGATTATCTGCTCAACTGCACTTGTGGAAGACTTCCAAGGAGTTGAAGGACCAGCCGTTCAGCTTATGGATGGGACAATAACTCCTGCTTGCTCGACTTCGAGTTGAGTAAGACTTCATATTGCTTATTTATGTCTCTATCATGGGGTGAATGTTAGAAAAGATGGTTCTGGACTATGAGAATTATATATTATTCCAAAATCCTCAAGCGCAATATTAAATATTCCCATGCCTCCCAACCTTGAAAGTCTAGGTAGATGCTGGACTTTCTGGATATTCTAGAGAAAACACCAAAAGCTAATAACAGGATGGATTCAAATGCCATTCTCAGGTGGCAGAGATGCCTCAATGGGCTGAGCACCTGAGGATGTGACCTCCCAAACCCAAAACCACACCCAACACCCCCCCCCAAAAAAAAAAACACTCATTGTCTGTTCCCAAATAACACAGTCCTCAGGCACTAAGTCCCTGGTTTTCAACCTTTTTCTATCACCGGCACCAGTTTGGGTACATCAGTCCAAAGACAGGCAATTGAAAACCAGTACCCCGAATGCCACTGAAGAGAGAGCAGCAAAATAGCGACCCTGGCTGAACCAGCCAGCATGGGCTGAGGGTCCAGCTCCGCTACCGGCCTGTAGAGGCATGTGACCTTCCAAACTAATCCCAGCTCCATTGCAAGTAAAGAGTAAATGAATTCATCCATCAGAAAAATAGGGCTTCAAACAGGGCCTGAGCCATGGTACATTATTGCTTATTTTCCAATATTTCCTGTTCAGGGGCTTACTTAACGCTAGGAGCAAGTGGTCTTTGAAGAGATCTCTTCCCACATGCTTTGTGTTGGGGTTCAATTTTCCAGTAACTCAACTCCACAGAGCAGGGACCAGTGAAGGGGAGGCTATCTCTGGAAAGAAGAGTGCCCCCTCCCAAAAGACTGGATGAACACTTGGTAGGGAGGAAGGAAACTTTGCCTGCAGGTGGGGGGCTGGATTACAGGACACTAAGGTGATGCCTGTTCTAAAGAAAACAAGTTTCTAGGGTAAAATGAATGCTGTTGAGTAAGGGATATAATTACGCAGAGGGAAGGGCTTCAGGTTTATTTGCTCGATTTACTCTGCATTCATGAATCATTCCATCAAATTTGATAGTGTGGTTTAACCTCTTGCTGAAGTTGAGAATGGCCAGCCAAGGGCGCATAGCGGATGGTGGGTGAGACACACCCATTAAACATCTCCACCAACAGACTGCTGAGGGCCTAAAATAAGATGAGGTGCAAAATGAGGAGACACCCGAAAAATTCAAACTCTCCCATCTTTACAATGAGGGGACATGGCCGGACTTCAGCAAATGAGTCATTCCTGAAAATTATCGAATTAAAAATGAATCATGGGTCACCAAGACCCTGAGGATTAATATTTAGTCTATGGAAGTAAAGCAGAGTTGAGAAATTTGATTTGGAATCAGCATCTGTGAATTCACTCCTACACTTAAATAAATACAAACAAGTAGATAGCAAATATTATACATATCTGCTATTGAAGAAACCACTTTTTCCCCCCTGAGTATACTATTTCTCACGTCTCAGACACTGGTCAGCAAATATTTCTCTTCATTTCATGGCAAAAGGTATAAGAGAAGTGACTTACTAAGAACCCCACAGAAATGACTAAATAGGATGAATGTTTGTGTAAACTCATTTTAAGGCGAGGGCTCTAGCCAACATTTTATACTTCCTGTTGGGACATTTTGAACATTTGTATCTAGCAAGGGCTCCAAAGTAGGCATTTCCTTAGGTAAAAATATCACTGCATTTCAGTATGATGGGGAAAAGCACACATCCACTGCCCACTCCTACCTTTCGTTTCACAGATCATCACGTTACTAAACTCGCTTTCTCCCCCTTCATTGAAGCATTGCATTTTAATATCATAGGAGGTCTCGGGCTGCAGATGGCCAATCATGTGCCACTGTTTTGAACCTTGGGAGGAAAAAGAAGAGATAAGTTTCACTTATTATGCAACACATGTGATGATGTCAATATAATTAATGGCTCTGAAATGAGCTTGGAGCAGGATCCATTACCACACCTGACAGCTGGTGCCATGAAAACGTACTGACTGCAAATATTTTCCCTACATCCTACAGAAAAAATAGCATTTCTGTTACATGACTTACAACAAAGATCAGGAGAAGAGAGGCAGACTGAATTAATGCTATGCTTGGGTTTTGGTCATAACATTGTGTATCATTAGGAACGATTAGTAGTAAGTCTAATTCTACATATTTCTGCCTGCACTGCAGGGAGGTGTGTGTACACACCACACTACAGAAAGGGGTGCGGCCCCCAGCAAGCACCCTAATGAAAGAGATCTATAAGCTCCATTGCTAGCAAGGGTGACTCTGGAGGGCACACAGGTGAACAATGCAGAAACCCCCAGAAAGCACTGAAACCATAACTTGTCTGTACCTCAACTGACAGTGTCACCCCAGCAGTCCCCTGTCAATCACCAAAACAAAAGACATGCAAACTCCGGAGAGCACTGCAACCTGGTGGGCACCAGAACTTCAAGGGCCAGGGGCACAACAGGGGTACGTGACACCTGGCCATTGCTACTCTAGCCACATGACATATGCCAGGAAGGGGAGGAAGGGACCCAAGTACTCTACCCCACTGCACTCTCCCTCAGGCCCAGAACTTCAGAATGAAATTCAACAGAGAATCTGATGCAGAAAAGGAAACGCCTTGGAAAATTCTTTTGACTGTTGTGTAACAAATTAATTGAGTGGGATTTCCACTCCCACCCCCCCCACCCCCTGCCACTTCCCCAAGTTTGAATAATTTTGAGTCGTTGATATACGTAAGTCATCTAAAACTTCCCTTTAAAGAAAACTTCTACAAACAACGGGTAAATACTTTTGCTTCTGGGCATGGGAAAGCAAACCCACAGTTTTCAATTGCCACAAAAAAAGAATTTCAGATGCATAAGCTTGAAAATGAGGAACAAGCAAATTACACAGCACGGTGAAACCCACTTAAACATGGAACTGCTCCGTCTGCTACATTTATAAACAACTTCTCTGCCAGCCAGAGGCAAAGTCCACATCTGCAGACACTGCTTCTGGGGCAGAAAGTCACTTCCCGGTTCAACGCTCGATATTCACAGGCCACAAGCCTGGAGGTGCATGTGCAAAGTTTAATGAGAGAATATGCCTGAAAAAGCTGCTTACAGTGGGTATTTCTATACGAAGGGGGAGGAAAAGGCAGTGAACTGTGAGACAGAGAGGGATATTCATTTTGCCTGCATTTTCCTCATTTAGAATTATTTTACTAAAATGTTTAACCTTTGCCAAAAGGTTTTAAAAATAAAACTCTGGTCCCCTCATTTTCCTAAGTCCTAGCTAAAAAAAAAAAAAAAAAAAAAAAAAACCCACCACCAAAAAAACCAGACTTAGAGCCTGCTGGACACAGAGGTATGAACCTTGCAGTGACAGGGCACGCGGGGCCTCTTGGGATGGAGGGTGGAATCGGCCCTTCTCCTCACCTGGATGAGACCCCGAGTTGCTGCCCATGAATAGCTCCTCCGCTCCTGAATGGCCATAATACCAGAGGCACACAAACCAATCTCAGAACCCAGTGGCTTCTGGCAGAAATGCTTCTGCACTGTGAACTAAGCTACGCCCGTGCTGCCCCGGGAGGGGAAGGGTGTTTGTCCATCTGCCTTTCTCCTCTCAGTGGCAGCATGGTGACTGCCATCCTTCAGAGCCTGTTGGTCACAGAGGTACGAGCCTGCAGTGACGGGGCATGCAGGGCCTCTCGGGATGGGGGGCGGAACTGGCCCTTCTCCCCGCCTGGACGAGACCCCGAGTCACTGCTTATGAACGGCTCCTCTGCTCCTGAACGGCCATGCTCCCAGGGGCACAAAAACCAATCTTGGAACACAGCGGCTTCTGGCAGAAATCCCTCTGGACTTAATTACTAAAATACCAGAAACCCCAAATCACGAGGCTGTGCAACATCATATGCTCTTCATTATCAGCAATAGAAAACAAATTATCTAATGATGCTTTTTCGGCAGGCCTGATTGTTGAGGGAAAATTCCAAATAATAATAGTGGGTCTTCTGTCAAAAAATTGAATGTAATTCAAAGCAAAGAGAGAGTAAAGTGAAAATCATCTGCCAGACAGGCAGGGGGAGGGGTGGTTGGGGTATACTGAGGTTCTTGGTGGTGGAACATGTGCACTGGTGAAGGGATGGGTGTTTGATCATTGTATGACCGAGACTTAAACCTGAGAGTTTTGTAACTGTTCTCCGAGTGATTCAATTAAAAAAAAAAAACCAGATTTACCAAGGACTAACACAACAGCTGTCACTAACAATTCTTCCCATTTCTTTTCTTTTTTTTTCTTTTTGAGTCACACCGGCAATGCACATGGGTTACTCCTGGCTCATGCACTCAGGAATTACTCCTGGCAGTGCTCAGGGGACCATATGGGATGCTGGGAATTGAACCTGGGTTGCCCGTGTGCAAGGCAAACACCCTACCCGCTGTACTATTGCTCCAGCCCCTCCCATTTTTAAATTTGCTCTTTTTTTTTTTGAAGTCAGTGATGCCTATGAAAGGGGCCCATAACTGAACAGTTCATTGGCTGTTCAGAAGCTGAACATGTCCATCCGTGGTACCAACACCTACACCAAGAAGGAGAGAATTACTGGCACCCCAACAGTCCCCCGCAGGTTCTTTCCAATCGCATCTTTCTCTAAAGACAGCTGCAATCTTAACTGCATGGATTACATTTTGCCCCTCACGGCCTGAATTCTTTATGTCTAAAGCAGATTTTAGAGACCAATGTATATCAGACATTTCCAGTGTACAGACACAATTATTACATCATTCAAAAAAAATGTACTGAGTATCTACTATGTGCCAAGTTTTCTAAGGCAGATTACTAAAAACTTACAAGATGAAAGACTGGATTCTACTGGAGAACCAAGCAAAGGAATGCCACAATTCTAACAAAGAGCCAACACCTCAAGGCTGTGAACTGACGCTAAGACCATGTACAACCCTGTCCAGGAAGTGCTGGATGTCAGGAAGCCAGGACACGGAAGTGGAAGGACAACTCTGTCCACCTCAAACCTTATGTGACTGACCAATCCTGCCTCAGTGAAAATGTCACCTCAAAATGTCATAGGAAAATGATGAAGGCCTGGCAGATCCACTAGGACTCAAAGTTTCAGACTTTTAGGCGACAGAAAAATTCCTTGAAGCCGGTTTTCCTCCCTCAGCCAGAACTCCACCCAAGTTATTCCTGAGAAAGCCCCTCCAGCTTCTCCGAACACCACCCCAGTCAGCAAGTGCATTCTGTGAGAGAGCACAGAATGGAAACACAATGTTGGAAAGTTCTTCCCACTGCTTTCCTTTTAACTGTCTCTCCCCAGTCAACTGACTTCCCTCTCCATAGAATGACCCTGAAATGTCTGAGCTGTCATGAGGGACGTCACTCGGTCCTGTCACATCTTCCCTGTGACCCGATCACCCCCAAACAGCCCATTGTTCTGTCTGGGCTCCATGACTCAGCTGACAATTCTTTTTTTTTTTTTTTTTTTTGCTTTTTGGGTCACACCCGGCAATGCACAGGGGTTACTCCTGGCTCTGCACTCAGGAATTACTCCTGGCGGTGCTCAGGGGGTCATATGGGATGCTGGGAATCGAACCTTGGTTGGCCACGTGCAAGGCAAATGCCCTACCCGCTGTGCTATCGCTCCAGCCCCTCAGTTGACAATTCCAAGCGCAGTCTTGTTGGGTTGGCTGGGTGCAGGGTAGGGATACAGCAGTGCGGCTGGGAGGAAAGAGCCTTTGTCCACGAAGGGGTCAACTTTCAGTAAGCTTTAAGGAAGTCATTTCAAACACAAAGACACACAGAGCAGAGGAAGGAGCCTCTAAAGGGAACCGGTGGAGAGTAGAACAGAGCCGGGTTTGATCCCCAGCAGCATCCCGTATACCACCAGGAGTAATTCTTCAGTACAAGCCAGTAGTAACCCTTGGATATCGTCAGTGGTGGCCCAAAAGCAACCACCCCCCCCCCCCGCAAAAAAAAAAAACCCAGAAAAAGAAAACCACAAAAAAGTAACCTTAAAAGAGACTCAAGGAGAAACAGGAGACAGCAGGAAGGGTCATGTACCAGGCAAGAACTGTCTCGAAGCACAGGAGATGAGAAGGTGGGGTCATGGCCACAGTCGCAATAAGGGGAGGGCAGACTGAATCAGTGGAGTCTACACACCATATGCAAAATTCCAGGTGATATTTCAAATGTGTGTGGGGGGGGAGGGAGCAGAGAGCTAGGACAGGGGTGAGGGCATTGGTCTTGCATGTGGCCAGTCCAGGTTTGATCCCTGGCACCCCACAGGGTCCCCTGAGCACTGATCACTGCCAGAAGTGATCCCTGAGTGCAGAGCCAGAAGTAACCTCCAAGCATTGCCAGGTGTGGCCCCAAAACCAAAACAAACAAACTAAACAAATTAAATGCAGTGAGAAGGCAGCAGCCTCCCGCACCGAGAGACGGAGTGTTTCTGTCTCCACCGATTCAGCTACTCAGCCGTGTACCCAAAAGCCGCCAACGTCACAGCTTCATTTAAACGAAACAGAAAACAAATCTGTTTTCCCCCAGAGGAACTTCTGACAAATTGTATCACCCCCTACAGTTTTATAACTGTTCCTGTAATCAAAATGTGAAGTTCTATATTTGCCACTCAATGCCTCTTTTGCAGACCACAACACCCAAAAGGAGAGAGAGAACAAAAGGGAATGCCCTGCCACAGAGGCAGGGTGGGATGGGGGGGATGAGGGTGGGAGGGATATTATCCATGGTGGTAGAAAATGGGCACTGGTGGACAGATGGGTATTTGATCATTGTATAATTGAAACCCAAGCACAAAAAATTGTAAATCTACAACTATACCTCATGGTGTTTCACTAATAAAAATTTTAAAAAAAAAGTGAAGTTCTTTCCTGCATACCAAATTTGAAAAATAATTGTCCTTGTGGGGAAATTCAAGGCAATAACACATACAACACTTCGCTTTTTTACCCTATTTTAATCTGGGATCCTTTTCCTAATAGTGACTGGTCTTCTCCCTCCTCTGGTTCTTAAGAAGGATGCCAGCTTGCTGATGGGACTCACCTTCTACAATATCCCTCTTGTAATCACTGTCGTTGTCGCTATCTGTTGGTCGGTAATAGATATAAAATCCTTGAATGGGAGTATTATTGTTAATTGATGGAATGTACTGAAAAAAAAAAGAAATAGAAGATTTGTCAAACACAAAAATAATCACATCCTTTAGGATTGACTTATCTATGTGGTAACATTTTTTTCTAGCTTAACCGAATAGCCTGGATGGCCGTTTTTAATTGAATTCAAAGATCTCTATATACCAAAGGCATTAAGAGCCAGTTCGCTTACTGCAGGTCTGAACAGAAATGAAGCAGTGCTCAGTCAGGTTCAAAGATATAAAAGTACGTGTGGTTTGATAAGTATCAGTTCAGTTAACACCGAGAATGTTAATACGAAATCAGTTAACACTGAGCTGCAGAGAAAGGAATTTTCTCTTGAACCCTGCCCAGTTTATAATATGTGCTTTTAAAACAGAGATTGGTGCCCTTCACTTGCCTGTCAGTAGAAGCTTCAAATGTGGCGGCTGACACAACCACATCAAAAGTCTAGGAAACTGACGGTTCCCGAGGCCAAACCAGAAAACGTTCTGGTGGTGGGAGGCGGGTTCAACTCACCGTCCACTTGAGCATGATCTGCGTGTCACTGACGGCTTCCGTGTACGCGATGTGTGGCCCAGCTATGGGGCGATTCGAGAAACGATTGGGGAATCCTGCCACTTGGTAAGGACGAGAGGCCGAGCTCCGAAAACTCTCCCCATAGTGGTTGATTGCAATGACCCTAAATTTGTACGTCGAACCTTTGGAGAAGAGAGGAGGGGGGAAAAAAATTACAGAACTAAAAATATCTGTCATAAGACTAAGGGAGGCAAAACATTCACACAATGCCCTGTGGCATAAGTTTCTACCATAACAAGAATAGGAATATTCTCAAAATGCAGCCTGTGTGCCAAGGAGCTTTCGATTCTCCTGGGAGCATTTCCTCACATCAAGGTGGTGAGATGGACCGTGAGGATGAGTGATGGCAGGGAGGGAGGACAGGGCGGGAGATCATGCTCTCAGCCGCACCCAGATCACCGAATACAGTCCTGGGGAAACTCTCGGAGCCCCACCCTAGGTCCCCTTCCTTTGAAATTTTATTTATTTTGAGGGCCCTCCCGTTGATCGTCGATTTGCTCGAGCGGGCCCAGTAACGTCTCCATTGGAGACTTTGTTGTTACTGTGTCTGGCATATCGAATACTCTCCGTAGCTTGCCGGGCTCTCCGAGAGGGGCGGAGGAATCGAACTCAGGTCACACTCAGCTGTGTTCAGGGCTTATTCCTGGCTCTTACGCATCGCTCCTGATGGTGCTCCATTGACCGTATGGGTTGCCAGGAATCAAACTCAGGTGCAAGACAAGGGCCTTCCCCATTGTACTCTCATACTGGCCCCAGAACCCCTTCCTTTGGAAAGAAACCACTGAAGCCAAGCATGACACAGTGAATACCTTTACAAGCAGGCACTGGGAACAGGGGTGGAGATAGAGGCTCCTGCGATCCCACCAAGAGCAGTAAGAGGGAGTCGGTCTAGGTACTTCTTTCCAACTGAGTGAGATGCTGGGATTTACAATACTGTTATGATGGTTTCCCGTAATTCCAACACCACACCCATCACCAGTGCACACACCAAGAGGACAGCAGATTTAATTGACAACAGAAGGAATTCCTTTGGGTTACATATTCAGAACTCAAAAAAAAAAAAACGAAAAAAATGAAAACAACCCTAAATCTAAAGAATCACTTAGAATGCTTAAGCCAGTTTCCAAAATAGCTTAAAAAAATAAATAAAAAGCCACTTGACTTCCGAAGACAATGTTTCCCATCTGTAAAATGTCCCTTGGCATCGCCCACATTTGAAGCTGCCCCCAGGCCCTCTGTGTTCCCCTACTGCCCACCCGCGCCCCCGCGCTCCTGTGCTCCTCACACCACCTGGTACACAAACCTGGCACAGCCCAATGGCACATTCAGATGCCCAAAGATGAGGGAATAAAGAGCTGTCACTTGCCACTGCTCCTTCCCTCCTCGGCTATTTAATTTATCTCAGAAAGTCTCATGGCAGTGAGTGAGTGTCGGGTTTCCTCTGCCAAAATTAAACTGACAGAGAAAAGAAGGGGTAGCTCTTTGGCCAGAAACATAGCTTAGTGGTCAAACACGTGTCTTGCATGTGTAAGGCCCTGGGTGGATTCCCAGCAACACCAAAATGAAGAAATCTATCTATCTATCTATAGCACAGTGGGTAGGGCATTTGCCTTGCATGCAGCCAACATGGCCGACTGAGGTTCGATTCCTCCCTCCCTCTTGGAGAGCCCAGCAAGCTACCCACACAGCAAAGCCTGGCAAGCTCCCCATGACGTATTCAATATGCCAAACACAGTAACAACTGTCACAATGGAGACGTTACTGGGCCCGCTTGAGCAAATCAATAAACAACGGGAAGACAGTGACAGTGAGATATATATATATCTGGCTGGAGCAATAGCACAACGCACAACGGGTAAGGCATCTGCCTTGCACGCAGCTGACCCAGGTTCGATTCCTCCATCCTTCTCGGAGAGCCCGACAAGCTACCGAGAGTAACCGGCCCGCATGGCAGAGTCTGGCAAGCTCTCCATGGTATATTCAATATACCAAAAACAGTAACAAGTCTCACAATGGAGACATTACTGGTGCCCGCTTGAGCAAATCGATGAACAACAGGAGGACAGTGCTATAGTGCATATATAGATATCATTGTTTATGTGTATATATTTTCATGCTGGAGCGATAGCACAGCAGGTAGGGCGTTTGTCCTGCAAACGGCCAACATGGCCGACCCGAGTTCGATTCCTCCGCCCCTCTCAGAGAGCCCGGCAAGCTACCGAGAGTATCTCGCCCACACGGCAGAGCCTGGCAAGCCACCCGTGATGTATTCGATATGCCAAACACAGTAACAACAAAATCTCCAACGGAGACGTTACTGGGCCCGCTCGAGCAAATCGATGAACGATGGGAGGGCCTTTACCTTTACCTTTATTTTCATGCTTATTAGGCATATATTCATAACCAAACACATACATACAAAGGTGATACCACTACATTATTTCTAAGTGCAAATAAATAGGCACAATCTAAAAACTAGAATAAACAAGGAATAGGTTTAAGAGGGCTGGAGAGATAACATGGCAGGTAGGGCGCTTGCCTTGTATAGTCCAACCAGGTTCGATTCCCAGCACCCCATATGGTCCCCAGAGCACTGCCAGGAGTGATTTATGAGTGCAGAGCCAGGAGGAACCCTTGAGTATCGCCAGGTGTGGCTCTCCTACCAAAAAAATCACGGTCACGGTCCTCCCGTTGTTCATCGATTTGCTCGAGCGGGTCCAGTAACGTCTCCATCATGAGACTTGTTGTTACTGTGTTTGGCATATCGAGTACGTCACGGGGAGCTTGCCAGGCTCTGCCGTGCGGGCGAAATATCATTAAAAAAATAGAATGGGCTCAGGAATGAAGATATCCACATGGCAGCTACGCAATATTGATAACTGAGTCTCTGAAACATCTTTCTGATGTTAAGAACCATGTCTGATACAACGGGTGGGGGGGGATGGGTTCACAATGGCACGATACTTGTTTGTACTGAAAGGAGAGAAACGCTTAGTAAGAAAGACATGGAAGTGCAAACACCGCGTCTTTGCTGGGTGGATTTCAGGTGACACGTAGTTGACACACCAGAAAATGAAGGGAGGATGAGAGACATCGTGAAGTCAGCTGGGAGCGTGCAGTCAGAGGGAGATGCGTGCATCTTTCTACCTGGTTCGAGACTCCGGACTTCCACGGAGAGTTTGGAGGGAGGGATGTCTTCTGCCGCAACCAGCCAATCGCTCGTCCTCATGCGCTTATATTCCACCTTGAAGGCAGTGATGGGAGAGCCCCCATTTGCCCGAGGGATCCATGTGACATAGACAGAAGTTTCTGAGGCCGTGGAAATCGTAGGTCGGTCAGGGGCTTCCGGCACTAGAAACAGAAATGCTATTTCAGTAATGCACGGTGATGGAGAAAAGACTAATTCAAACAAAACTAACAGGGCTCAATCCCAGGCTTCATTTTATTCCTGCTTCTGTACCCAACGTTTGGCCTTAATTAATGAGAGCCTCTCTTTCTGTCTGCTGCTAAGAGCTAAGCAAGCAAGAGACGGTCACAAACAGGAAATAAAGGGAGAGAAAGGGCAGGAATCTACGTACTTGATCGTCAGTTCTGAAAAATGGGACTTAAATGAGGATAGTCATATGCAAGGCCACTTGGAATCCACAGCTCTAAATGGCACTAAGTCACTATTACTTGGTGATCTGAGTCTGCCTATGGTTATGATTTATAAGAAATGATTTATGTGTGATTATAATAAATGTCCAGAACAATATATTGTCTCACAAGTTTTACTTTATCCATCCAAGCTGTGTAAAACCCATCCAGCACAAGCTACGGCTCTGTATATGAGCTGTTACTATTACCTCTTTTGTGTGTACATATGTATTGTCTATAATCTCATATATAATCTGTATATGAGTTTCCTGTATACGTATAATATATATATTGCATATGGTCTGTGTTACTATACTTCCTGTATGTTTTTTTTTTTTGCTTCTTTGGGTCACACCCGGCGATGCTCAGGGGTTACTCCTGGCTCATGCACTCAGGAATTGCTCCTGGCGGTGCTCGGGGGACCATATGGGATGCTGGGAATCGAACCTGTGTCAGCCATGTTGGCTGCGTGCAAGGTAAACGCCCTACCCGCTGTGCTATCGCTCCAGCCCCTTCCTGTATGTTTTATATATAAGCCATATATGATCGGTGCAGGCACTGTTACTATCATCTCCTATTTATTATATATGTGCCGTATATGATGTGTATGCACGGTTAGTATCGCCTCCTGCCTTAACATACTTCAAGGCTTCTGGAATGAGACTCCTGAGAGCAAAATCAGGGGCACACAGAGGTATGGGGTGAGGAAGGGTGTCAGCGCTGCTGACAGTGGCAGAAGAAAAGCTGCACTTGACGAAAGCAGGACATGCCGTTCGAGAAGGAAAAAATGTTTCCTGAAAATAGGTGGGGGGGGGGGTCAGAGAGCCGGTGTCTCCCAGTTTTCCATCAGCACTGCCAAGGGGAGGGGATGTCCCAATAAAACACTCTTGAATGGGTGGCTGGGGGTAGGCGTGGCGTCAGGAGTAAGTTCACGGTCAGGAGTAAGTTCATTGGGACCCCAGACCTCAGTCAGAGAATACAGCCCTGCTGGGGAGGGGGGTGGAAGAGAGGGAGGCTCCCATTCAGGCCCCCCCCCCAGGAATGAGAACACCAACGGGAACACTGGTCGCTGGGGTGGTTACAGCCCAGGCCAGCAAAACCTCTTCCGCTAAACACAAGTCACTTGTGAGTTTTATGACTGTGAGCCTGTTCCCTGGTGACCACCTGTTTGGGACCCGATGACATTCATTTCCAGAGCTAGAATATCTCCAGGACCCACCTAGGGCCACTATACATGCATGAGGGGGACGTGTCTCTGACACAGGCCCCCTCACCTGTCTCAACTGTACCAGCTCCCCCTATAATACCCTGTTTCATCACTCCTTCAACCTACAACTCAGATACCTTACGAGAGAAGAAAGCAATGTCACACCGGGCACTGGAACGGAGAACACGGAGAGAAAGAGGAGGGCATTCAAGGCAGACAACTTGGAGCGATACTTACTTTATTCCTTTCAAGTTAGAAAGCAATGGAAACAGAACAGACAGAACTGTTAGTGAATCCTTTTTTTAATACTTGACAAGTAAATAACTTCCTATGGTTAAAGTCCCAAGAGGTTAAAACTCATCAAAGAAACACAACACATCAAATAGGAAAAGAAGATTATCTGGGGCCAAAGGGTGGTGGTGTCTGTGTGGGGAGTGGTTCAAAGGGCTGGAGTGTACATCTGGCATGCATCAGGCACTGGGTATGATCTGATGCACTGCATTCTCACCAAAGCACCTTGGGATGTGGTCTGATAGCCCCCGGCACTGGTAGGGGTCCCCTCCCCCCCACCAACACCAACCCCCGCCACAAAGAAAGTCCCATGCAGGGAAGAATATTTCACTCTAAATAGCACATGATATTCATAAGAATATTGACCTTAGATTTACAAAGCTGGGTCTGAGCAGCAGTCTTCCACTTTCTGGGTGATCCTGGGCAAAATGCATAAACTTCTGGAGACTCAGTTTCCTAATTTCTAACCAAGATCTGTGGCCTTTGTCATGGTGTTGTCATGAAGAGGAAATAAACCACTTACTTTTGCTCTGATCACTCCAAACTCATGATTTCTGATCACCTTCACCTGAAGTTCTGGTTCTCTGGCCTGGGAAATGGGCCCCAGGTGCCTGAGTCATTGTACCCCTGGCTCTCCCCAAAGTGGTCCCACCCCCCAGTCTGTCCTGTGTCCCCCTTCTCCAGTCACACAGTGACAACTCTCACTTTTCCCCTTGAGCCTTACCTTCTGTCGTTCCTCTCCTACCCCCTTGTTGAAATCCTTCTGGATTCTCAGTAGGCATTATGGAAAGAGTTAAATCTTTAAGTGTGTCCCAAGAAGCACCTCCACCCCTAACATCACCACCACAGCGACCAGCTCAAGGAAAGTAAATCTCTGGTGTCTAGATGACACAGACCGTGTCATTCACAGTCTCGACACATGGGGCTGGCTCTAACCTAGACCCTCTCTCCTTCTCCTTGCAGTGAAATTGTTCTTGTCTTTGAGGTTTAGCCCTTGGAGCCGTGAGACCTCTCTTCACCACTTGCTGCCCACATTCCAAGCAGGGGACTGCGTAGCTATTTCTCCTGCTGTGGCCTGGTGGGTCTCATTTACCCACTACTGGAAGGCCCTGGTGGTCTGGATCATCCGCTTTACTGACAATGTGGTGATGGTGAGAGTCATCTGATCCTTGCTGTTCCAGCATTTAGCACAGTGTCTGCCATGGTGTGTTAAACGGATAGTAATGTGGTTTGCATGAAGTTGGCCCATCTGTAAGGAACCTGGAGCCACTGCAATGTCGCTCGCAGGACAGTGCCGTGCAGAAGAGCTGAAGAAGCGACAGAGGCAGAGAACATGCCCGGGGCCTGCCCCAGGTTCCGGGAAACCTCAAGGGTCTCGTCTTCATTTTTATAAGATCCCTCAAAAATTCTTAGAGCTCAGTAATAAAATTGTCTTACAAATGTTAGTAGGATATCACACACACACACACACACACACACACACACCCCAAGAAAAAACCCAAACATGTAAAATTGTAACTGAAGAACTGGCATGAGTACATTTTAAATATGATAAAAGTCTTTTTGAAAACCTTACAGCTATGATTTTCAAAAATCCTAAGACTGACTTGTTATAACAGTAAATGAGTATTATGTGTGTAATCAAGTAAAAAAGTTTACTATGGGTATCAGCTTGCATTTTGATGCTTCTCTCTCTCTCTCTCTGTCTCTATTGTTCTCTCGTGCACACACAGACATACAGTGAAGACTTTCAGAGTTCAAATGTAACAAGGAGTCAAAAAAGAAAAAAATACCCACAGCAGATTTCAAAGTATGAATATGCGTACAGATGGAGAAATGGATGTGAAAGTTATAGTGTATACACAGTGGAACACCACTTTCCCCGGAAAATGAGTGCTTTCCATTTGTAAGAACATGGACAGACCATGAGGGTTTTAAGCTTAATGAATATAAGTCAGAGACAAAAATCACATGATTTTGTTTACATGCGGAGCCTAAAACAAACAAACAAAACTAAAGCATAGGACAGAAACAAGATTGATTGTTGTCAGAAGGGTGTATGGTTAGGAGGGTATAAATGGTTGTAGGGGATCAGGAAGTATAAACTTCCAGTTATAAAACAAGAAGTTCCGGAGATGCAATGTATAGCCTGGGGACTCCAATCAATAGCACAGTGTTGCCAATTTGGAAGTTGCCAATCAGAAAAAAATGGTAAACAGACTTACACTGTGATGACCATTCCACAATGTATACCTGAAGCTAATATTGCACAACAGTAAGATTTTTTTTTTTTTTTTGCTTTTTGGGTCACACCTGGTGATGCACAAGGGTTACTCCTGGCTCTGCACTCAGGAATTACTCCTGGCGGTGCTCGGGGGGACCATATGGGATGCTGGGGCGTCGAACCCAGGTGGGCCGCATGCAAGGCAAATGCCCTACCCCCTGTACTATAGCTCCAGCCCCACCAGTAAGATTTTAATGTTCTTTTAGAGAAAATTTAAAACAGACATAATAGATGCATGTACATATGGTTTTTCATTTCTTTGCAGAGAGAAGACAGAAAAATACTGTTTGAGAGTTATAAACAGTTTGTGACCAGAACATATTAAGCCCGAGTTTATGTTCACAGGGCTGGAACGATAGCACAGCGTTTTTGCCTTGTATGCGGCTGATCCTCCGTCCCTCTCAGAGAGCCCGGCAAGCTACCGAGAGTATCCCGCCCGCACGGTAGAGCCTGGCAAGCTCCTCGTGGTATATTTGATATGCCAAAAACAGTAACAAGTCTCACAATGGAGACCTTACTGGTGCCCGCTCGAGCAAAGCGATGAACAACAGTGCTACAGTCCCACAGTGCTTATATAAGCTCATGAATATCATTCAAGGTCTCGGGAAAGCAAGATTTGAATCTAATACATTAAAAAAAAGTTTAACAGGATAGTAAAGATCTGGCTGCATAGACTCTGAACAATGAACAAACACCTGTCCCCCCTCAACACCACACACACACAATGTGAACCAGGACAGTCACATCTGGAAAGGAGTGACAGGAAGCTCTGTCTCTTTACCTCCGCTGTGCCTGGAAGGGTCTGCAGGAAGAACCACTCCAAAACTCTCTGCAGCCTCTGGGACCACGGGGTGCTTCGGGAGCCCCACGGGCAGAGACAACACTGGGGTGTTTTTTGATGATGCTGTTTTCTCTAAAAGGTGGGGGAAAAAAACCATAAACTGTAACACAGGCTTGGGTGTGCATGAAAGAAAAGATTTAAAAACCTCACAAGTACCTAGGCTAATTGAGCTGATCTGTCACAGTGTCTAGATTTAAGGAACACACCGCATCTGCTTAACTCATGCAGGAACTGACTTAAAAATTACTTTACTTTTTCTAGCAAGTACCTGTTGAGTGTCTTTCTTCGTCAGACTAACCTCAGATAGGAACAGGAACACAAGTGAAAAAGTCAAATGACTAGTTAGGGGTTTTCCAATGATTCATCCATTGATCTTTCTACTCTACAAACTTGATTCTAAGACACAAAATTCATCATTAGAAAGCTTCAACTGGGGCCAAAGTGATAGTATGGTGGGTGGGACACTTGCCTTGCATGCAGGCAACCTAGATTCAATCAATCCCCAGCACCCCGAGTGGTCCCCTGGGTATTGCCAGAAGTGAGTCCTGAGTGAAGAACCAGGATTAAGCCTTGAGTACCTCTGAGTGTGGTCCATCCACCCTCCCACCCCAGAAAAAAAAAGCTTCTTTCAAATAGCTGCACAGGAAAATTGTCATGAAGGTAAAAAGTGAAACTGGGTGATCGTTTACAAACTGAAATACACAGATCTTATCAGGATTTATAGGTCAGACTCTAAATAACTGAGGTGAATTATTAAAATTAACTCAAAATGCACTTTGAGTAAATATTTGAGGGCTAGAGAGATATGACAGAAGTACTGCCCTGGTTGGATCCCTGGTACCAAGGATGATCCTCTGAGAACCACGAGTGATTCCTGAGCACAGAGCCTGGCTGAGTACCACCACCACCCTCACCTCGCCCCCCTGCCCACACACACGTGTGCACATGCCTTGCATGCAAGAGCCCTGGGCTCGACCCCTGACACTGCCTGACCCCTAAGCACCAGTGGGTGCTGGTCCCTCCCCAGATACCCACGGTTTTCCCAGAAGTAACTGGCTTGGTTTCTTTCAAAAGCTAGCAGAAGTTTTGTGCTCAATCATACCACACTAACATACTCTTCCACACTTTCCATCTCTACTCACTGAAGTCTTTCTGCTCCTTAATGGCAAAACTACAGTGGCCTCTTTTCAACCCACCCGTGCACACCACCCCCCAGAAAGAACAGCCTTTCTTTGTACTCCGCTGGCATTTTCCCTGGGACTCTTCAAGTTACTGGCCCTCCTCTGCCCATGCCTGCATCCTCCTGCAGTCCTGATGCGACAGCCCGAACTGTCATCCTGAATTACTCTGCAGATCACGGAGTTCCTCTGCTCAAAACCCCCCAAGGCCTCCAGCTCCCCCAGAGTCAAGGCCAAAGTCTTCACCAGGTTGCCAAGGGCCGTGAGATCTCGCCTCTCGCTCCCTGCTCCCCACAGTTGCTCACTTACTCTGCTCCGATCACAGTGGCCCTTCCGTGAGAGCCTTGGTACCTGGGGCACACCCAGGCCCAGAACCTTTGCACCTGCTTCTGGGATGGAACTGTCTTTCTCCAGAGAGACATGTGGCTTTCTGCGTCCCCTCCTTTAAGTTCTGCTCTGCTGCCAATGGTTCATGAAGGCCTTCCCTGATGACACCCTCGGCTGTGCATTCCCCTCTGACACCACCCAATTTCTCTGTCTTGTTAACACTGCCTTCCAAAGTACCTATAACTCTCCCAACTAGAACGGAAGCGCCAACGGGGCAAGGAGCATTCTCCATTTATTTTTTAATGGCCAACACACAGAAGGCATTTAGTAAATATTAGCTCAACTGGAATGTTGATGGGCAGTGGGCATTTATGCATCTGTCTTAGCAAGCCAGAAGCTTCATTAGGATGGATGGTGTTTTGCTCACATTCACGTTTCCTGCATCGCCGGCCTGAAGATCTTACACACAATCTCTCAAACCCAGAGTAGCACTTAATGAATATATTCTGAAAGATTTTCAACCATCCCAATGGGCACTTTCCAGTAAGGAGAGAGGAAGAAGGCTCTCGGGAGCTGGTCCTCACCTTTGCTGGTGCGGAAGGTGAGCATGGCCGGCTGCCCTTCCCCTGCGGCACTTCGGGCTACCATCAAGACTTCATAGAGACTGGAAGGCTCCAGCTCGGACAGATGGAGCTCATTTTCACTTCCGGGGACTCGAACTGTGTGCCAGCTTCCCGCCACGCCCGTTCCATCATCCAGCTATTCAGAAGAAAGGAGACCATTAGAGAGAGACAGACAGACAGAGAGAGAATAAAAAAACTTTCCATTCAAATAGAATAACAACCAATTAATCATTAAAAGCTTCACGAATTTAAGAGAAGTGACAGACCACTGGAAGTAAAAGACACAGTATCTCTTCTCACTGTAAAAGGAGATGAAGAGCAACTCTGACTTCTACACTTGACTCTGCCAGATCCAACAACTTAGGGCCTTAGGGAAATTATCTTCCCTCCCAGACTCTATTTCTTTTACTTGTAATAAAGACAATACTCCTTTCTTGCTGGACTAAGAGGAGAATGAAACTGATTTACAATGATAGTATGCACTAAGACAAGTATGTCATATAAATAGATTATAAACTATAATATGCCATGTTTGTATGTATACGAATTATAGCACTATATAGTATACATTTCCAGCATTCCCGGCTCATTGTCTTAAAATGTGCTTGAGGAAATAAAAGCTCCAATCTGTTATGTCTTGATTCATGGAACCGAGACACATGGAAGTTCCCATGCAGGAAAGAATGGCCACAAGGTTTGCTTCATCTAGAGTCACTGGGTGAGCAATGGTGTGGAAATGTTCAAACAGCACCATGCTAATTTTTGCTTATAGAAAAATATTATTAAATAATGGCTGCCAAGGGCTAGAGTGATAGCACAGCGGGTAGGGTGTTTGCCTTGCAAGTGGCCAACATGGCCGACCTGAGTTCGATTCCTCCTCCCCTCTCGGAGAGCCCGGCAAGCTACCGAGAGTATCTCGCCCGCACGGCAGAGCCTGGCAAGCTCCCCGTGACGTATTCGATATGCCAAACACAGTAACAAGTCTCAAAAATGGAGATACTACTGGGCCCGCTCAAGCAAATCGATGAACAATGGGAGGACAGAGACAGTGACAATGGCTGCCAAGGAGGGATACTGGGAACATTGGTGGTGGAGAATGGACACTGGAGGGATGGGGACTCAATCGTTGTATGACTGAAACGTAATCACAAAGTTTGTAAGTCTGTAACTGCATCTCATGGTGATTCATTAAAAAAAAATGATGCCAAAAGACCTCAGACAAAGATTATGTTATATATGACTCCCTCTCTCCCGTCTCACTCATTAATAAAGACAGGAAGTTGTGGGCAGGATTTCCTACCTCATTTTCCTTTAATATAAAAGGCAAAGTAGAAAGAAAACATCAGCTGAAAAAAAAACATCATCTCCATCATCAATGGAGAGAGGACGGAGGTTTGCCCTAAACAAGTGACTCCAAAATGTGAGATTCTAGGGGCCGGAGCAATAGCACAGTGGGTAGGGCGTTTGCCTTGCACACGGCTGACCTGGGTTCGATCCCCGGCATCCCATATGGTTCCCCAAGCACCGCCAGGAGTAATTCCTGAGTGCAGAGCCAGGATTAACCCCTGGGCATTGCTGGGTGTGACCCAAAAAGCAAAAAAATAAATAAATAAAAAATTTAAAGTGTGAGATTCTACTACAACTAAGACATCGTTGTAATGCAAACAATTTTGTGTCTGTTTCAAAAAAAAAAAAAGAAAAGAAAAACTACTACACTGTTCTATCTCAGAGAGGAAAACACCCCAATTTAGTCAAAGCAGATTGTAAAGAGATCGAGGCAAAGTGAGAACACGTCACCTTCCGATACTTCACAAAATAGGCGTTGATGGGTAGCCCACCGTCCTTGCCTGCCCGCCAGACCAGGTTGTACGTGTCTGGTGTGTGGGTCTGTGGGGGGCTCAGAATGATGGGGGCGTCGGGGACAGAGGTGCCAGTAGCATTTTTCTCTGCTGATGCTTCCTGCGCCGGGAGAGCGTCTGATAAGGCGGTTTCGGGAGCATCTCTGCTGTCATCCTGGGTGGCACTGGCTGGTGTGACCATGTCCGTTTTTGTATTTGTTTCAAAGGGAACTGTGGAGAGAGGGAGAAAGAGGGAGGCTGAGGGCAGCTGCCACGCTGCTGCCTTCTGCATGGTGCCTCACTGGCCACCAGTGCTGGTGGACAACTGGAGCCTGTGGACTGAGGAAGCAGGAGGGCAGTGACCTGTTCTCATGAAGCAAGAGAAAGCAAATTAACTGAGAAACCAATTCTAAGGCCTAGTAGAATGACTTACAGGGATTTATTTCCCCTTGCTCTATACTAGCGGTCTCTATTTTACCCTAACAATGTTTAACCTCCACGGATTTTTAAATAAAACAACACACTGCATTTTACCCCAGGAGGGGAGTGGTCCGAGGCCCCACCCTACTAAAGCCCTGGCAGCCACACTCACAAGCCCCACAGCCATCACTATGCCAACGGCCCAACTCCACCAACTCCACCAACTCATGACTGAGCTTTGCAGAGACAGCAAACTGCCGAAAACTTCAGGTACACCAAGCCTCCAGGCTGAGAACTCTGGGGTCTTCTTGGAGTCGGGGTGGGAAGCTTCCCCTTAGACCCCATACTTCCAGAAGCCCCAGCAACGCCACCCACACCCCACAGCCGCTGCCACAGAAACTCAAAGTCTCTAAATGCTGACAGCCCAGTAGGTGCACATCAAATTAGACAGGAAGGTTACACAGGAGCCAACTAAGCTCAATAAACAAAAAAACATCAACACAGAAGGCTCAACTAGCAGCAGCTGAGGAAACTCGAAGACAGGGACTTTGTCCCCATGGTGAGATGTAATGACTTTCACAAGCTTTCTCTCACTGAAGTAATTTTTTGGACAACTGCGCTAGCCATTTAGTTCTAACAAGCAATATAAAATAAATTCATTTGTGCCTGCTAAGGGACACGTTTGGGGGTGGGGGGTTCGTGGGAATGGGGACAATGGTGGAGGGAAGGGAAGGGCACACTGGTGGGGGGGGTTGGTGCTGTAATACTGAATGCCTGTAACAAATGCATCACGAGCAACTTTGTAAACCTTGGTGTTTAAATAAAGGAAGGGGGGAGGGAAAACAACAACAACAAAATCCCAAACATTGCACTTTAGCTCTTTCTGGAAGAACCGGACATGAGGTTTCCAAAGAGTCTTCTTGGCTCCCGGCTCCCAGCCCGCCCCTGATGCCGGAAGTCACGCCCTCAACCCACCTCCACTGTCATCTTGCTGCACACAGCAGTGAAAAGTCCCACAACACCAGAGAATTCTCCAGGCCCCATACTGAGCCGGTATCTCTGGGATGCCCCAGGTGGATATATATATATCAATATATCTCCCTGCCTTCTCCAGATGGAATCCCAGCGACCATGAGCTTCTACAAGCATGTCTCCGGTATGTGGCTATCAGGACTATTCCTCTGAAGCCAGGAATTTCCTGGAATGCAAAGTGATCAATGGAAAAGAAATGATCTAGTGGCAAGCTAGAATGGTGGTGGGAATATCCGAGCAAAATATAATGCCCAAAACTACAGAGAGAGTTATCTGAACAACTGTCTGCTGTAGAGACAGGGTAAAAGGTAAAGGCCCTCCCGTTGTTCATCGATTTGCTTGAGCGGGCCCAGTAACGTCTCCATTGGAGATTTTGTTGTTACTGTGTTTAGCATATCGAATACATCATGGGTGGCTTGCCAGACTCTACCGTGTGGACGAGATACTCTCGGTAGCTTGCCGGGCTCTCCAAGAGGGGCGGAGGAATCGAACTCGGGTCGGCCATGTTGGCTGCATGCAAGGCAAACGCCCTACCGCTGTGCTATCGCTCCAGCCCTAGAGGCAGGGTAAGGACTGGGATGGAAGTGTAGGGGATTATGGGGATATTGGTGGTGGAAAGTTTGCACTGGTGGAGGGATGGGTGATCGATCATTGTATAGCTGAATATCAAACATGAAAGCTTTGTAGCTATATCTCACAGTGGCTCAATAAAAAAAATTGAAAAAAAAAAAGAAACACTGCATACATGAAACCCAAACCAAGAACAAAAACAAACAAAAATAGAATAAAAAACAAACAAACAAAAAGAGTCTTCTTGGCAGCCCTGTGACCCGCATCAACCAATCAAAGGTTGCAATGAGGTTTCACTCTTCCAGGCTGAAGCCAAGAGTGGAGCAGAGGTGCTGCCACATACAGATACACACGCTAGCCCTGGGGGGGGGGGGGGGGGGGGTTGAGAAGGGGTGGAGAGTGTGTGAAAGAGAAGCATAGATACAGATACACACACACACACACACACACAGAGGAGCCATCTAAGGGGCAATATCACTTGGCTGTGCCAGGCCCAGGGGTCACCCGAGAAGTGATTAGCGAGTGAGCAAGGCCTGTTGCCTCTATGGCAGCGTGGAGCCGGCCCAGCCGTTTAAGTCCTGCAGGGGTGGGTGTTCGAGCTCATTCATCTTGTGGGTCCTTATGAGGCAAGAAATGAAACAAAAGTGGCCAAGAAAAAAGGAAGCACTTATTTCTTTCCAGATCCGCCCTCTCTTCTAGATTGAACTGATGGCTTAAGAAATTACCAATCTAAAGATAGATCAAAGAAGTCCACTGTCTGTCTGTCCTCCCGTTGTTCATCGATTTGCTCGAGGGGGCCCAGTAACGTCTCCAATGGAGACTTTGTTGTTACTGTGCCTGGCATATCGAATACTCTCGGTAGCTTGCCGGGCTCTCCGAGAGGGGCGGAGGAATCGAACTCGGGTCGGCCATGTTGGCTGCGTGCAAGGCAAACGCCCTACCGCTGTACTACTGCTCCAGCCCAGATCAAAGAAATGGAAGCCTTTTAATACTACTAAAGCACAGAATATGCAATGGAAGGTAAAGATTAGTTTTCACTGAAAAAATGAAAAAGTTGCATATAAATACGTTGCATGCCCTCTGCCTCCCAAAAATTACCACGGGCTGGTGGGGGGTTGGGCAATGATCCCCCACTTTGTATACAACTCATGAGGGCACTTCCTTTCTCTTCACTTAAAGGCAGCAGATTCCAGTGGATGCTGAGTGATGTTGGGGCGGGGGGGAGATCATAAAATGGTACAAGAACATACATGCAAACTTATTCCAAAAATAAGTCTGGGAACCTCTCTGTAATATGATAAACATAACCTCATTTAACTCTCATAACAAGGCTCTTAGTAACATTCCCATTTCGCAGATGAAGATTCAGAGATGCGAGACCTGAAGCAACAATAGCTGGCAGAGGAATGTTGGTGTTTCTGCTGCAGAAAAAAAAAGAGCTGGGGCTGAGGCGAGGGCTCAAAGGGCACAGCACGTGCTTGGCATGTGGGTGCTCCAGCTGTGATCCTCAGCACCACATGGTCCCCTGAGCACCACCAGGTGTGGTCTCAAAAACTAAAAGAGTGATTTACAAAAAAAAATTGCCAATATATTAAGAATGCATCATAAAATACTACAATATAAAAAATATTGTCTATATAGTAAGTACAATCGTACTTAAAGATCAAGAGGTTATGTCGAAGCAATAGCACAGTGGGGAGGGCATTTGCCTTGCATGAGTTCGATTCCCAGTATTCTGTAAGGTCCCCCAAGCACCGCCAGGAGTAATTCCTGAGTGCAGAGTCAGAAGTAACCCCTGAGCATCACTGGATGTGACCCAAAGAGGGAGAAGAAAAAATCAAGAGGTTGTGGTTGCTTTCTCTAAGTCGTTATTACACTGGTAACCAAAATGTCTCCTACTTTTGACAGGTGTTGAGGAGGGAACAGACAGGATACTCTCTTTTCTGCATGAAGTCAGATTGCTGGTCAAAGGCGGGTGGGTAGTGAGGAAAACGTCTGCTGTTTAGGAGAAAACCAAGAGGAAACTGGAGGAATCATGTAAGGTCAGTTCTCTGTTTGTTTAAAGGAGAGAAAAGGTGTCCCAGAAGCATCTTCCAGCACAGAAAACAAGAAGCTAGTGAGAAAATAATACAGACGAAAGCTCATTAAGTTCATGGAGACAACATCCAAATATTGCTCCTGGCACAGGAATGTTTATGCAGTGAGTCACTGCAGGCTGGGGCGATGGCCGAGACCGGCCTCCTGCTGCGCGCTGACTCCAAAGAGCAGATCATGGGAGGTAGGCCGGGGGGGGGGTGGAGACACTCTCACTGGCCCCCCAGGGATCCTCTGGACAGGTTACCCCGGGAAGTGGCATCTGGCTATAGATGCATCCATAATACCACAAGCCTCTGTTTCTCCGGGGCGTGAGAAAAATTTTACCCAACAGCCTGTGTCAAAGGTACAAGCAGCAGCAAAATTCCACCTGGGGAACTTAGCCCGCAATGAGATTCCCTGGAACTTTGATTTTAAAGGTGGTTCAATTGATGTTACCCCAGAAAGCTCAGCAATAGAATACGTGGTGGACTTGTAAGACCCCAGATCCACCAAGAAGCCCTTCACGGTACTTTTGCATTTTTTATTTACTAATTTTGTATGTAGGCACTATGACTGACAAGCCTTTCAACAGAGAGTTTTGGACATTCAATGTTCTATCTCCAAAACCCAACACCCAGGGCAGTGCCCTCCACCCCCCACCAATGATCCCCACTTCCTTTCCTCTCCACAACTGCCTCCTTAGCAAACTCACTTTTTAAAAAAAAATTTTTTATTAGTGAAACGCCATGAGGTACAGTTGTAGACTTACAATTTTTTGTGCTTGGGTTTCAATTATACAATGATCAAGTACCCATCCCTCCACCAGTGCCCATTTCCCACCACCACAAATCCCAGTATCCCTCCCACCCCCCACACCCCCATCCCCCCTGTCTCTGTGGCAGGGCATTCCCTTTTGTTCTCTCTCTCTCCTTTTGGGTGCTGTGGAGCAAACTCACTTTTTTTAAAAATGTACTTGTTACAGTCTGGCTGCCTGTTGACTCTTACGGTTCTGATGTACATTTTGAGACATATTCCAGTTCAAGTTCTCTTCGTTGTTTTGAAGGAAACGTCTATAAAGTCATCAGAACAGAGAGCTGGCATCTTCTTTAAAGACAAGGTGTTTTAGGAATTGAAACAGAGACTGACAAAACTTTGCTTTTCTATGTATTCTAACAATGGGGTCATATGCGGACAAAACTCTGGGTTGAATTAACCTGGGGTGAAACCAGGTCTCTCCAGATCTGTTCCCATGGGGCCAGGCGTACCTACACCCCACACCCGAAACTGCTCAGAGTCGGTCACCCGACTCTCACTGGGGTGCTGAGAGTCAGAAATCATCCAAACTGTTTGGATGCCCAGCACCTCGAGAACCGAAGGGGTCTGGAAAGAAAAACTGTTGGGGAAGGGTGTAAGCCATTTCTCCCCATTTCTTTACTTGCTTCCTCCTTCACAATAAATAAAGGAAAGATCTGCCAAAAGGCTAGAATTTATGGCTCTAATTCCCTTCGGTTTGTTTTGGGTCACGTCAGGCTGTGCTCAGTGGTGATTCCCTCACGGTGCTCAGGAGAGCATGTGCTTGGGATGGGCCTTCCACATGCAAAGCAGATGCTCTGGCCCACTCAGCTCCATCCTTGAGCACCCCCTGTAGCCCCCTTCCCACACACCCCCCCAAACCCCAACTCTGGTTCCTATGGAAAGAAGTCAAAAGAGCTGAAAGTGCTTCTGAGCTCTAAGAGATTCAGCTGGACCTTGATAATTCTTACAAAGTACGCAAAAGAGGCCACACTGGACACTTAGGTTGAATGTAGCTAAATGCCATTTTTGTGTTGGGGTTACTCAACATGAAAATGGTATTTGTGGAGTGCCAGGGAGATAGTTCAAAGGGTTGTGGTGTGTACCTTGCTTACGCTGGACTCTGAATTTGGTCCCCAACACTGCAAGGGCCCCTGAGCAGAGCCATAAGCAGCCTGGAGGCCCAGAGCATCATAACGGTGGTCCTGGTGGCCCTTGGCACTACTGGCCCCACACACTCAACTATCCTGCCTGCACAGCTGGAGTGAATATCTCTGGGATTGATGCTCCCCCCGCCCTTCCCCAGGACATTGCTGGAGTGCCCACCCCCACCCCCAGATGATATTCATCAAAGCATACAATCATGAAAAGGAGAATCACATAGACCTAAATAAACAACTTTGCTCTGAATACAGATTTCTCAAGTTTATTTGTTTTATTTTTACTGGTTTGGGGGCCACACCTGGCGGTATGCCAGGGGTGAATGGTGTGCAAGGTGAATGGCTTACCCGCTGTAAGCCCCAAGACTGGCCCCAAGACTTCTCCTATTTAAAGTGAGCATGTGAGGCAAAATCTCTGGTTCTATTGGTTTTGACCCAAGCCCTGCCTGCTCCCTCTATGTTTCCACGGAACAATCATTTTTGCTCAACGGTACCCAAGCACCGCCGGCCTGCCTGCCTGCATCTCGGTTGACTATGGTGGACAATTCTGAGCACAGTCACTTTCCGTTCTGCCTGGAAGAACATATATGCAAACACATACAGATGTGCACATTTGCACAAACGGAATCAGCACTCACCTGCTTCTTGAGGACTCTGGGTTTTGGGGGGGTAAGTGGGGCTAGGACTCCTCTAGTTGTACTCCGGGCTTACTCCTGGCTCTCCACTCAGGCACCACTCCTGGCAGTGCTCGGGGGACCATGTGGGATGTTGGGGATCAAACCCAACTCGGCTACATGCAAGGCAAGCGCCCCACCCGCTGTACTGTCGCTGACCCCATTCTTAACGATTCACATGACTCTTAAAACCAGTTATTACCTCTTCCTCTCCTACACAATCCCACATCAGCTTATAATTTATTCCTGAGATACCAACAATGATAACTTGATACTTTGCATTGATTGAAGGTTTTTCTATTTTCATTCCAGGCACTTTACACATAATTAAGCCCTTGAATGTCCGCAGCTACCTGAGGAATAGGAACAGCTTTCACAAGGGGTACTGCATCACTCGGCCCCGGGTAGAGAGCAACTGGGAGGTGACAGCGGGACCCCATGCCTGACACCGGGGTGCAGGGAGTTACAAAGGAGGGTGAAGATGGGCTGGCTTTGCTCATTTCTTTTTTTTTTTTTTTTTGCTTTTTGGGTCACACCTGGCAATGCTCAGGGGTTACTCCTGGCTCATGCACTCAGGAATCACTCCTGGCGGTGCTTGGGGGACCATATGGGATGCTGGGAATCGAACCTGTGTCGGCCATGTTGGCTGCATGCAAGGCAAACGCCCTACCCGCTGTGCTATTGCTCCAGCCCCTGACCTTGCTCATTTCTCTTCCTTCTTCCAGCATTCTCCCAAGTGAAGGGGCCTGTATGTAAGCCAAAGAAAATGCTGCGGCTCACACATAACTGTCTACCTTGCCTTCACCTCTCAGTATAGAGCCGCCCTAACCTGCGGCACCCCTAACCTGCAGGTGCCTGTTGGTGCTGCCAAGCAGGATGAAGCCAGGAAAAAGATCCAGGTGGAACAAAGTTTATGGACTAAGACACTCTGGAACCCGAGATCTGTGGTCTGGAAGGGGGATGTGGGCTTCAGGCCCCAAATGGCACAGCCCTCATGACCTCTTGACCTGTGGGGAACACACATACACACACACACATACACACACACACACACACACACACACACACACAGCCCTCACAGGCAGCAGCCTTAAGAAAGGAGCTCGGGGATGCTAGTGAAAGGATACGGATGCTGTGGGGTGGGTATGGGCATCGCTGTAAACACACAACAGTAATGCTGATACTAATGGAAACCAGGATGCCACAATGAAAAACAAGAAACAAACACAAAAGGAAAAGTAAAATAATAGCAAGGAAAAATAATAAGGCAGAGATGCAGGGCAGCTGCCATGACTGAGGACTCCTGTATGATACTCATGTGGCACCAGGGACCTTTAGATCTTCAGTCCAATTCTCTCCCAACTGAGCTATTTGCGGTAGGGCGTTTGCCTTGCACGCAGCCAACACGGCCGACCAGAGTTCGATTCCTCTGCCCCTCTCGGAGAGCCCGGCAAGCTACCGAGAGTATCTCGCCCGCCCGGCAGAGCCTGGCAAGCTCCCCGTGATGTATTCGATATGCCAGACATAGTAACAACAAAGTCTCCAATGGAGACGTTACTGGGCCCGCTCGAGCAAATCGACGAACAACGGGAGGACCGTGACCGTGACTCAAGTCGCAAATAAGCAGATGGTCTACCCCTCAATTATTCGTTGTGGAAAATGCTCCAGATGTAAGGTTTGAGTCTGAAGTCACTCTGTATGAACAATACTGATATTCAATGCACCAGTATTCCAAAACTATAGTTTTTACACCATCACCCCAAAATCAGTACAATGAAAGAATTCAAATTATATCTCCATAAAAATTTTTATTTTTGATTTCTGGAGAGAGTACGGAGGTTAAGGCACTTGCCTGGCTTGTACCAGCTCTGGTCTTTGGCACCATAAAAGGCTCCCGGAGCCTCATCAGGAGTGATCCCTGAGCACAGAGCCAGGAGGAAATCGTGAGAACCATGGGGCGTGGCCCCCAAAACCTCAAAACAGAATAAATAATCCTAAGAAGATAGGGGAAATGCAAACTTCCTGGAGCCCCGCGGCCACACCCACATCCCACTGCAGTTGTCATAATTAAATCTCAAAAGAGATGAAGTGGCTGCAAAATTTTTTCAGATACCCAGCCCTGGCTGAGACCTCCAGGGTGAGCTCGAAGGAGGAGGGGGGAGTCGAGGGGGGTGAGCAGCTCCTATCAAAGTTCCAGCAACTGCACTCACGCCCCAAAGCCACTGCCATACCTCTGGCAAACTGCCCACTAGCTAAATATTCTGTATTTTCTAGAGTGCGCCACCTCAAAACACCTCTAAACTCTACAATACTGACCTCCCAGTGGCAGTGCACCGGATTGGATGGGATGTGAAGCAGAAGCCAACTCATCTTGACTAACAGAAACATTAGCACAGAAGGTTTTACTTGCAACAGCAGCTTAGTAAGCCCTCAGGCAAGGACTTAATGTCCCCATGGTGAAACAACTTTCCCATATTTTCTTCTACTGAAGTATTTTTCGATCATTCCGTTAGCCATCTAGTGGTAACAAGCAACACAAAATAAAGTATTGTGGGTCTGGTAGGGCTGGAGCGATAGCACAGTGGTAGGGCGTTTGCCTTGCATGCAGCTGGCCTGGCCAGGCCAGGTTCGATTCCTCTGCCCCTCTCGGAGAGCCCGGCAAGCTACCGAGAGTATCTCGGCCGCACTGCAGAGCCTGGCAAGCTCCCCGTGATGTATTCGATATGCCAAACACAATAACAACAAGTCTCACGATGGAGACGTTACTGGGCCCGCTCGAGCAAGTCGATGAATAACAGGAGGACCGTGACCATGGGCCTGGTATGGGGGCAGGCTTGAGGGGTGGTTGGGAAAATGGAGACAATGGTGGAGGGAAGGTGACAGTGGTGGTGGCATGGGTGTTGGAATACTGAATGCCTGTAACAAATCATCATGAAAACTTGAAGAAGTTTTCATGATGATTTGTTACAGGCATTCAGTATTCTTCAACTGCAGTGTTCAAATAAAGTGGAGGAAAAAAAGAAGAAGAAAGATCGGTGAAATCGTATTATATAGTCATTAAGGTTACTGTTTGATGATACCACGTCTCTATTCTCTAAGTCCAACCCTTTAGAGTTTGAATACTCAAATAATCAAGGACTTACCGGACAAGTAACTGCAGTGACCACAGAAGTCACACCTCGGGTTTAACTCCCAAATACAAGCTTTCTATAGGACATCCGCAAGCTGAACCCACATCAACGATGAAGCTTGAGCTTCACCCCGATCCTGAAAGCTAAATACTAACAGATACATTTTTGCATTTCCCTGCTGCCAGGGAAAAAGTAGAGGGAGGCTGTCAGCCATCACTGGTCGTTCAGATCCGAGACTTTGTCTCTACGCCCGAAAGAACTGTTCACCAGGATAAAATACTAAGAGCAACTCACCGACCGTGAGCACGGCGTCGGACTGTGCAGTGCCGTGTGCATTGCTGGCCTCACAGGTGTACTTGCCAGCATGCTCCGGAGTGACAGCCTGGATGTACAGGGAGCTGGAGCCAGCTCGCGACATGATGAAGTAAAGGGGTTCCGGGTCCAAGCCCCCGGGTCTTCCTATGGGTGCTTTTCGAGATTTAGATCGTAGGACCTGGGAGGGATGGCTGGTTATCAATCCTTGCCGGTCATACCAACGGATGACAGGGACCGGCATGCCAGTGGCATTGCAGGACAAAGTAACAAAGTCTCCATCTACCACCTGAGTGTTTGTGGGCGCTGTAATTATGACTGGCTTGAGTCCACCATCTATTTAAAAAAAAGAAAAAAAATGAATGGGTCAAACACATTCAATATCTGCAATGCAACAAAAACATTCTCATTGGCACGGTTAAGCAGAAATCAGGAGTAGCTTTTCTATGTGTTTCTAAACAGTACTTTACATGCAAGACACATCAGTTCCCTGAAATTACAGCATTCCAAATGTCACAGCATATTGGGACATGACAAGATAGTAATGACAGAGCCAGAGCGATAGGACAGCTTGCGGGGGGGGCTCTTGCTTTGCACACAGCCCACCCAGGTTCGATCCCCAGCATCCCATATAGTGCCCCCAAGCACCGCTGGGAGTAATTTCTGAGTGCAGAGCCAGGAATAACTCCTGAATATTGCAGGAAGAAATGACCCAAAAAGCAAAAAGCAAATAAATAAATAAATAAATAAATAAGACAATAATGACTGTAGTCCTCCTCATCTGAGGTTTTGCTTTCTTTGATTTTTGTTCTATGAGGTCACCCTTGCTCTGAAAATGCTATGGACAATGAGATATTCTGAGGCCACATTCATGTAACATTGGGGTTTGGGTTGTTTATTTTTCCCCCCTGGTAGATGTTTTGGGTTACACCAATCTGTGCTCAGGAGTTCCTGTTGGATCAGAGCTCAAGAGTCACTGCTGCTGGTGCTCTGGGGACCACATGGTGCTGGGGATCAAACCAGACGTCCCACATGCAACAAGTGCATGAACACCTGTCTGATCTCTCTGGCTAGCCCTCATTCATGTAACTTGACTATAGTATCCTGTTACACATTGTTCTATATTATTATACCGTTGTTCATCTCGTACTGTCCCTGATGTAGTAACTGAACTCTATTATAGGTATGTGTCCATGGGAAAGACAGGGTACACCGACTGTTTGGAACACCTCCCCCTGCATGGGGGCTACTGTAATAAGTAGGACAAAGACAATCACCTCCTCAGCAGTGCTTTCACCAAGTGAAACAGATGACGAGAGAGGATCTTTGTCAGTGTGAACTCAAAGGCAAGTCCTGTACAGGTTTCCTCTCCCTGGGGAAGAAAGGAGCCCAACGCTCCCAGTGCTATTGGGAGTGCCCACATTCCCTCTATCTGTCCAACCTATCTGTAAGAGCCAATGGACACCTCTAGCACAAAGGAGGGGAACAAAAGGACGGAATGGAATCACCCCCTCCACAAAATGAGTCAACTTCGGAAGGCAGGGGCTCCTGAAGTTGAGTCAGGGAGAAAACCTGTCACAAATCAGAAGTCTGACGCGCTATCCACTGTGCAATGGAACCACCTTATCGTGAATTAAAGTTGACAGACATATCTTGCCATAGATGTGAACTATATTCTTAGTGGTTTTTTTTGGGGGGCGTGGAGTATGAGAGTTACTCTTCACTCCTGACAATGATTGGGGGACCACATGGGGTGTCAAGGATTGAACCTGGGTTGGCTACATGCAAGGCAAGCACCCTACCCCCTGTAATGTCTCCCCAGTTCTTATTTTTAAAAATAGTTTTTACTGAAAGAAATTTAGAGAAATGTGGATGGGGAGAGAAGAAGAGTAGGAGAATGGGAGAGAGAGAGAGAAAGGAAGAGAGAGAGAGAGAGAGAGAGAGATGTTCAAGAAGCAACACAGGCTTCTCCAGAGAAGAGCCTGTTTTCAGGTTTTGAATCAAGTGGCACTGATCTGACTCTTCCCTCCCGGATCCTGAACTCTCCCGGGCGACTGTGATGGAGTCGGGTGATGCTGGCATTCTCTGTCTGCCACACAGCCTTCCCTTCTCCAATCCCACTTCCTACGTGTGACAGAACCACCCACTCTGGGCATTCCTGGGCTTCTGAATTCTCGCCCATCTAGCAAGGCCATCACCTTTGTTCCCTGAGAGCTCCGAGGGGAACATCTTCCTAGCCCTGCACAGTCCACTCGTGAATACTGAGATTATTTCTCTTCCCTGAAATGGCTCCAAGTTCTTTGCAGATGCCAGAGACCAGAGACTGTTCTTCCAGTGTTTCCGCTTTTCAGTTTTAGTAGTATCCAATGAATGATAAGAATAATTCTCATTTCAGTTAGTCATACTCATCCTTTCTAAAACTTTTAGAAACATCATGTTTAAAGTTTTACTCAGATCACAGGTACTTGTCCATATTTTCTTCAAAAGTATCCATTTTGTTCTCCCTACTTAGGTCTTTAAAACCCTCCAGGAAGGGGCCAGCGAGGTAGTATGGTGGCAGCATGTTTGCCTTGCACGTGGTAGACCAGGCTTCAGTCCCTGGCAACCCATCTGATCCTCTGAGCCCCTCCAGAGTAATCCCTCAGTGCAGAGCCAGGAGCGAGCTCTGAGCACAGCAGGGTGTGATCCAAAAACACAAAAAATTTTTAATACACAATAAAACCCTCCAGGAAGTTGCCTTTGCATGCTATGGGAGGTAGAGAGTTTTTTCCTGCTTTCTCATAATTATCCTGTATCAAATGAACTGAAATGAGAATCCTCCCCCGAGGGTCTGCATTGCTACCTCAGTCAAGCCCTTGCATGCAGATGTCTTTTTGGCAGGGTCTGTCTTGTTCCAAGAGTCTATCTGCTTCTGTACCATGCAGCACTGTCTATATTAGTGCAGACTGTCCACGTATTTTCTAATCTGCTAAGGCAAGTCCACCGTGTCCCTCTGCAGGAGTCTCCTAGCTGCTCTTGGCCTTTGCTAACCCATATGAACTTCAGAATCAGGATGCCAATATTCTCAAAATATTCTGAAGGCATTTAAATTGGAACTGCACAAATTCACAGAACATTTGTGGAAAGATGTGACGCCTATTAATACTAAATTCTGGGGTCCAAGAACCTGTTCTAAGTACATTGGGTCTTTTGAAAGTTGCCAATAAAATAAAGGTGGTGGGTGGGGGGAGTTTTTAAATGATAGTATCTGCCTGTGGCTGGTTGTCAGGGTTAATTTTATGTCAAACTGGACTGGGCTCCAGGGATGCCCAGAGAGCAGAGTGTTCAGGAAAGATTAGCATATGAATTGGGGGACCGAGGACAGCAGATGGCCTCCCGGTGTGGGTGGGCACCAGCCAATCTGTTGAGGGTCTCTATACAACAAAAGTGCAGATAAAGAAGACTTTTGTCTGCTCGGGCACTGGACATCAGACCTCAATGTGTCCTCTGGTCTTTGGGCTCAGACTGAGGTGTGTGCCGTCAGCTCTCCCACACCCCCACTCCCCCCAGCCTCCCGAAACAACTGAACATCCCCAGACCCCTTCCTCCTTCTCCAGCTGAAGCAGACCAGGAGGCATCACCACATGCCCTGGTGCTTGGTTAGATCCTCTGTGTCTTATCTTGTCTTGTCCATGGACTGGCTCTGTCCGGAAAAAACTAGCTAACGCATTGGATGAAAGAAACAAAGCTGTCCCGGGTGGGAGAGATAGTATAGCGGGGAGGCCGACCTGGGTCTGATCCCCAGCATCCCACAGGCTCCCCTCAGCTCACCAGATGTTATTCCTGAGCACAGAGCTGGGAGTAAAACCTGAGCACAGTCAGTGTACCCTACCCCTTACCCCACCCCCCAAAAAGAAAAGAAACTGATCCTTGCTTATTGGTCTTCCTCTAACCACTTGCTATGTGCAATGGTGATTCTTCTAATAATTTGCCAGCACACTACTGAGGATTCTCATCACAGACGCTATAATTGCCACTACTTATTTCTTTTCTTCTTTTTTTTCAGGGCTGGAGCGATAGCACAGCAGTAGGGCGTTCGCCTTACAAGCGGCCAACATGGCCGACCCGAGTTCGATTCCTCCGCCCCTCTCAGAGAGCCCGGCAAGCTACCGAGAGTATTCGATATGCCAGACACAGTAACAACAAAGTCTCCAATGGAGACGTTACTGGGCCCGCTCGAGCAAATCGACGATCAACGGGAGGGCCTTTACCTTTACCTTTTTTTTCATAAATATTTAATTTCTTTTTCTTGTTTCATGCTGGCGACAAATTCCAAAATAATAAAAAAAAATAAGAAAGGAGATTTTAAGGGAATGCTCTGCCATTTCACCATTCCTGCGTTTGTTAAATATTATTTCATTTATTTATTTTTTTAATTTGAGAGAGCCAGGGGATACTTCCTGCTCAGAGCTCAGGTTTCTCCCAGCAGTTCTTAGGGGACCTAACTGTTCCTTTATCAAGTTATGGAAGTTCCCATTTCTCTTTCTCCAAGCATGCCTAGCATAATTCTTCAGTATGTAAAATGTTTTTCTCATTCTATTGGGATAATTACACTGGTTGCTCCTTTATTCAATAAAAAGGATAAAAGACACCATCAATATTTTGACTGATTCCTAGGGTAAGTCTTAGTCAAAACATATTTTCTTTTTGATATATTGATGGTTTGCTAATTTCTTATTTATGATTTTTGCATCGACGTTCACAAATAATATTGGCCTTTGGTTTTCCTTTCTTATGCTATTCTTCTGTGACTTTTGATATTTTTAATGAATTATACTGGATGATATCTAAAATGCAGGTTATGTGAAAAATTCCAGGTAAAGAGAACTACTATACTCGTGTCTGTGTCATAAGTACAAACAAACATCCTGTTATTAAATGCCAAGAAGTGTCGGGGTTGAACTCAGAGCCTTGCACAACCTAGGTATTTGCCCTGCCACTTATACTATATTCCCAACCCCCAGAATGCAGTCATTTGGGGTGCCAGAGAGAGAGCACAGGATAGGACACTGCATACAGCCAACACTGGTTTGATCCTTGGCACCACATACGGTTCCAAGAGCATCTCCAACCCCTTCACCCCACCCAAGTCACTTTTAACTCGAACAAAAGCCCATTAATAAAGCACAATTTCCCAAGGTCATGTGGTCTAACAGCCCACCTTTTACAACTTCAAGTCTCCCAGTCGACTGCATAAATCCAATCCCATTGTCTGCAAGACACTGATACAACCCAGAATCTTCCACAGTAACACCACTGATTTGCAGGCCACTTCCTATCGTCAGATGCCGTGGAGAGGGATGAAGAGGTTGTGCGTTATGAAACCAGGTGCGGTTGGGGGCCGGGTTCCCATGAACATCGCACGTAAATTGTACCGTGGAGCCCAGCGGTACTGTTTGGTCCTGCAGTCCTTTAGAAATGGAAGCGTGTTCTGAAAATAAAACATACCAGTCAGACTCTCGCCCTCAAAAGATCCTTTTAAAATTATTACCCCAGTCACAGAACCTCTACCGATAGCTGGCTGAAACCAAATGGGATGTAGCTGCCCATTCTCCCTGTGCCGTGAATCAACCATTAGTCACTAATCCACCGCCGATAATTTTTATAACTGTCTCCATCACTGACTCCTCGCTCCAGACACACAGAAAGACACACCAGCATGAACGCACTCAAGTTTCTAATCCTGAGCTTCTCTCAGAGGTTGGTCAGGTGCTAATTTAAGATCAAGTAACAGCATCCCTGGATTCCCCACTGCACAGGAACCAAAACAGTGTCTATTCATCACTCTTTCGATGCTGAAGTCTGCTTTCAGATTAGGTGCCTAAGAAATGGACCCAAAAAATGTCCTGATGTGGCCAGAAATATAGTAGGGTGGTTGCCTTGCAGGCAGCCGACTCAGGTTCAATCCCCAGCATCCCATGTAGTCCCCTGAGCACCACTAGGAGTAATTCCTGAGCACAGAACCAGGAGCATCACTGAGTAAGTGAAAGTAAAGTAAAGGCCCTCCCATTGATCATCGATTTGCTAGAGCGGGCCCAGTAACGTCTCCATTGGAGACTTTGTTGTTACAGTGTCTGGCATATCGAATACGTCACGGGGAGCTTGCCAGGCTCTGCCGTGCGGGCGAGATACTCTCGGTAGCTTGCCGGGCTCTCCGAGAGGGGCGGAGGAATCGAACTCGGGTTGGCCGTGTTGGCTGTGTGCAAGGCAATGCCCTACCGCTGTGCTGTCGCTCCAGCCCATCACTGAGTATGACTTAAAAACAAAAACAAAAATGCCTTGAGGTATCCATCATGTCCCTTTTTACCTAAACAAAATGAATCCTGTATGGAAATTTTAAATGAGTCATATTTAATGATTATACACAGTCTAATCCCAACCGTCATTAAACTGCATTTATTCACACTCAATATCTCTGGTGTGTGACCAGGGGCTACTCCCAGCTCAGTGCTCAGGGACTGCTACCAGCAGAGCTTAGTAAGGACCACATGGTACTGGGGATTGAACCTTGGGCTTCCACATGCAGAGCGTGTACTCCAGCCCTTTGAGCTGTCTCCCCATCCCCTGTCATCAAACTTTAAAGTCGGCTTGCCCACACTCTTGGTACAGTAAATAACCCACACCAGGCCACTGTTGTAAATAAATGCAGGCAGAAGGTTTATGGAAACTACCACAACCACTTACAATCTATTTTTGCCTTTTGTTTTGAATGAAGCTCTGTTTTGATCAAATAAAACACCTGATACTGCAACACATAAGAGAGAGAAAGCTGGAAGAAAAGAAAAGCAGTTCTGAGATAAAGAGTGTCTAGAAACGAGGGCGAAGATGAAGCAAACTTTTCATGAGCCAGATCTAGAATTTCCAAAAGGGAAAAATAAAACCAAGCAGATTTCCTTCGGAGACGACATTTTCTAGCCTATGTTATACTGCAGTTACTACAACACTGGCAGAGCCCAGAATCTTCCAGCCCATTGATTCCCAGTCTCTTTCCTCCATGTCACAAAGAAGGAAGAGGGGGTTCGGCCCTCTGAAGCTGGAGAATGAGCCCATCCTGGTGTAAAGCACCGGGTCTCTGGAAATAGTGACTGATCCCACACGCCTTTGGGAAAATGAAGCTTGTCGGGACTGGAGAGAAGGTACCAGGGTTATGGCATATGCTCTGCATGCAGCCAACCCAGACGATTCCCCCACACCACACAGTTCCCCGAGCATCACCACATGCGGTCCAGGGGTACTGCTGGGTGCGGTCTGGAGGGCCTGGAGCTCTGGCTGGGTGGCCCAACTCCCCCTGACAGCAGAGGACTTGGCAGCCCCACATCCTCCAAGTCTGGTTGGCTAAGAATTGCCGGGAGAGACCCCCAAACTCCATAAAAGCACGGCTAAAGAGATGTGCAGTGCGCGCGTGCACACACACAAACACACATAAACATAAGCACACACACACACACACACCCACCACCACCACCCCAGCTCGCATACACACACACATAAACACAAGCACACACACACACACACACACACACACCACCACCACCACCACCACCACCATCACCACCACCACCCCCCCAAGTGAAACCTGTGTCAGACAACGGACGGGCATTCTCAGTTAGTTGTTATTTCACTCCCAGTCCCCCAGGCTGCCGGGAGCGAGACCCGGTGCCTCTTACCGAGCACGCGGACTGTGTACGTGGCGTGCTTCACCTCACCAGAGCCGCCGCCCACCAAGCAGGAGTAGTTGCCGGCGTCCCTGGGGTCGATGCGGTCCGTCGCCAGGTGTGTGTGCAGCCTTCTCCACCTGCTGCCCAGCACCACATCCTGCCCATCCTTCAGCCAGTGCACGGCCGGGACGGACCCGGAACTCACCACGCACTCCAGCATGACGGGGCTGTGGGCCACGACGGCCAGGACCTGGGCCAGGGTCGGGTGGAGGATGTGCACGTGGCCCGAGGAGGGGGCTACAGAGAGAGGCAAAGATAGAAGCGTGTGACGGTCACGAGCGCGCCTCCAAAGCCGAGGGTGTGTGCCCACCTCCGGGCCGTTCAGTCCTGTCTAATGGAGAATTCGACGGGAATGTCTTGGTGGGTCAAAGTCACAGTACAGAGGGTAGGGCACTTGCCTTGCATGTGGCTGAGCCGGGTTCAACTCCCAGCACCCCATATGGCTCTCCCAAGCCTGACAGGAGTCATTTCTGAGTGCAGAGCCAGGACTAAACCCTAAGCACCACCAGGTATGCTTCCCTCCCCCACACAAAACAAAATAAATAAATTAATAAATAAATGAAATGAAAGCTCCTTCAGTGCCATTTTCAATTTGGCAGCTTGGAAACAACAGATTTCTCAACGAGTTCAAAGGCTTCATGGTTCTCTCCGGATGGATGCTACCTCAATGACCATCCCCTGCAGCTTAGCCACGACTCGCACCATCTCTGAATGAAAGAGAACAGATACAGATTCTTCCTCATTCAGTTAGCTACCCATTTTATGTTCACTGGTAGAAAGGCAATACTTTCTCTAGAACATTTTTCTTTTCCTGAGCAAAGGGACTACGCATAAATCCCAATCTGTCAGCTTGAGCAAAATTGCCTGCTAAAAAGCTATTCTGTTATAAAAAACAAGCATAATACTATTTTGTAGGGTATTTATGTATTCGCTATCTCTTAAGACTTTCTTCTGATAAAAGAATCTGCAAGAAAAATGAAACTCTCTTTTCCCGACTTTTCACCAGAGCCCTTTCGAGCACCCTTTATCAGTGCCCTTCTCCCAAATACTTACGACTCACAAGGAGCTTTCGGCCAACGGGTTCAAGTTTTAGTTCATGTGTAATAGGATTAAAAGCTGCACATTTGTATGATCCTTTGTCCTCTAAGGACACATTCAAAATCTGAAGATTTCCTGATGGAAGGATTAAGTAATTCTCTAAGGAAGGAAGACAAGGAGGCAGTCAGGACCTCTCTGCTGAAAATGTGCCCTTTCCACACTGAAAGCAAATCCACCATTAATGAAAATTCATCCAACAAAGGAAAGTCAAGACAGAAAAAGGGGGGGGAGAGGTCTCTCACTTAGAACTACTCATTGTGGCTTGGTTCTTCTTTTGTGACTCCTTAACCAGTTTCACTCATTCCCCTCAGTCAACAACGGTCCAAAACCAGAACGCACAATTTTATTTTATTCTTTAGTCTGGGAGCCACACCTGGTGATGCTCGGGAACTACTTTTGGTTCAGTGCTCAGGAGTCACTCCTGGCAGTGCCTGGGGGACCATGTGGTGCCAGGGATGGAACCTGGGCCCCGGCGTGGAGAGCCTGTGCTCAGACAGTTGTATACTTTGAGAGTCAGACACAACATTCACATAACTTTTACTATATTGTATTACCGTAACTACTCTAGTTTATCATAAGTTGTTGTGCATCTCTTAAGGTACATAACTTAAAAATTACTTGTTTGTACAAGTGGTGCTACATGGAAAATATTATGCTAAGCGAAATGAGTCAGAAAGAGAGGCACAGACATAGAAAGATTGCATTCATCTGGGGAACATAAAGTAACAAAATAAGAGACTAACACCCGAGAACAGCTGTGATAAATACCAGGTTGTTCACTCCATGGCTTAGAGGCCAGCTGCACACTCTAGGGGTAAAGGCAGCTCAGATAGAGAAGGGAGCACCAAATAAAGGGTGCTGGGAAGATCTGCCCAGGATGGGAGATGCCTGCTGAAAGTAATCTATGGACCGAACATGACTGCCACCCAATGTCTCTTCTGCAGACCACAGCACCCAAAAGGAGAGATAGAACAAAAGGGAGTGTCCTGCCACAGAGGCAGAGTGGGATGGGGGATGGGAGTGGTGGGAGGGATACTGGGATCAGTGGTGGTGGAGAATGGGCACTGGTGGTGGGATGGGTACTCGATCATTGCATAACTGAAACCCAAGCACAACAACTTATAAGTCTACAACTGTACCTCATGGTGTTTCACTAATTAAAAAAAAAATTACTTGTTTGTTGGTTTTTTTCTTTTTGGTGAGGAGGGGTGTGGAGTCGAGGGATTGGGCCACACCCAGCAGAGCTCAGGACCGACTCCCAGCTCTGTGCTCAGGAATCCCTCCTAGCAGTGCTCATGAGACCATACAGGGACTGAACCCGAGTCAGCAGCTTGCACAGCAAGGGCCTGAACACCTGTACTATCTCTCTGGCCCATAGCTAATCTTTATCATAACTGTGCGTGAATAGGAAGAAAGAAATAGCTCTATAGGGTCTGGAACCGTGGGGGCTTCGTTGGCTCAGAGGAAAGAAACCACTGTACTAGATAACGAAGTCAAACCCAGCAGAAAACAAAGTCAAACCCAGCAGAAACCCTTAAGATGGACTGCTGTGGTAAAGCACACTGAAAACGTTAAGAAGGATCTGCAGGAAAGATGAAGTGATGTCACAGCAACGGCCTTCAACAAACCTCTCCCTAAGAGAGAGCTAATCACTTGCAGTCACGGCGTCTGCACTGACCCTCAGCCATCCCTGAGTTTCTCCACACATCTGTCCAGAGAGCCTCCTTCCTGCCAACGCTGACCCAGGCACAGGGGGTCAGTGAGGAAGAAGGAGAAGGCCCGGCTCTCGGGCAGCTGGTCTCTCAGAGCAGAGGACAGGGGCGGAAGGGAAATGAGGTCCATAAACACGCAGACACAAACACATAGGGCCCGGCCTATTTCAAACATGAGGCCGAGGAGCAGGATGTAGCCTACGGAGCTGAGCACATCACACAGGAAGCCCGGCTGGCTGCCCGGACTCCATGGTTCACTGAGCACTGCCGGGAGTGACCCACAAGCATAGGGCTGGGAGAAGCCCTGGAGCAAAACATTAAAATAGATAAATGAAAATTTTTTTTAAATGGAGCTGACTGGGGGCTGGAGCAATAGCACAGCAGATAGGGTGTTTGCCTTGCACGCGGCCGACCCGGGTTCGATTCCCAGCATCCCATATGGACCCCTGAGCACCACCAGGGGTAATTCCTGAGGGCAGAGCCAGGAATAAGCCCTGTGAATTGCCGGGTGTGACCCAAAAAGCAAAAAAAAAAGGTGCTGGGGTCTGAGGACCATGAGGCCAGTTCCGGTACTTGGGGCGGGGAGGGTGGTGAGAGCTGAACGGGGCGGGGGACTCGGGAAGGGAGCACTGGCCGTGGGACCAGCATCGTTTCTTTCTTGGTCATTATTTGCTGGTTTTCTGCCTGAGTCACCTCCACTTCTGGGAGGAGAGACAATGTGCCGAGGGCATTTCCAGCTCTGCCATCCCTGGCACGACAGCGGGTGGGGTCCTAGCGCTGATCCGTGGGGGCCATTGGTGGGCAAAGGAAAATCTCACCTGTCGAATGTTTCAGCCACTTCCCCCGGACTTTATAGCGCACCTCGGCTTTGGGGTTACTCGGGGGGACCTGGCAGCCAATGAAGCCGGTGCCTTTCTCTTCCGCGATAACAACATGCTTGGTCGAGGCGCCAAAATCACCAAGAACTACAATAAATCAGACAGGTGAGTCAGGACGTGGCCATCTGAACGCTTCTTCCCACCGAGATTTAAACACCGGAAGCCACATCTGCAGCCTGGCAGTCTGCGGGGGGTGCAGAGTCCAGGTCAGCAGCCCGGGGACCTTTAACCTCAAGAAGCAACTGTGAGGCCAGGACGTGGTCACGGCGCCCCTTCCTGGAAGCAGCTGCTGCTCCTAGGAGGGGCCCCTCGGGAAAGCGCAGAGAACATCTGGCAGAAGCAGGAAACCTAACGTCCCCATCTGTCCAGACCAAGTCTTGGCCTGCGAGGTCCTCGCCACGGCTGCCTGCACGTCTTCCCTCTGCCGGTAGCTTCTCAAACCACGACAACCATAATACGGTTTCTGGGAGGGAAGCTGGGTCATGGCTACACAGCACAGCACACCGTGGTACTGTCCCCCACACCGACGTGGTCTCAGCCACCACCGCAGCGCGCCTGGCAGGGCTCTGGGCTGCGGCCCAGCCTCTGCACCATCAGCAGCCTGAACGCAGCCCCCAGTGGCGGCTGGGAGCTGTCCATGGGTCACAGCTCTACAAAAACATTTACTCTTCTCAGTTATGACAAACTCACTCCTCCCGGGGAATCCAGATTTGTTCTGTAAATAGGGGTGCCCTTACAAAGACGGTTTCCATTACTGGAAGCCATCACCCTTTGAAAGGCAGATGGCTCGAACTTACTAGGAAAAACCACGCATTCCAGATTTTCCATAAGCTCAATACTCCACATTCCTTTCTTTACAGTCATTCCCCCGCCCCCCTCCAAAGCCCTCCGCCCCCAACGCTCCCCCCCACCCTGCTCCTTTAGCCTGGTTTCAATTAAATAAATTAAAATCACTCAGTAATCAAGACAAATAAAACAATTCGATGGGAAAGAAAGATAAAGGGCCGTTTGAAATAACCGAGTGTCAAAGTACACGGCAGCTTTTTCGGTGGTGGTGGTTGATATCAAGAATTTTTCAAGGCTCCCCAAAGATAGAGTCCAAGTTAGAAAACTGCCCCGTGTACAAATCGCTTCCACACCCACGTGGCACATGGAGGCACTCAGAGAGGCGTGCAGGGGTTCAAATCCCCCAGGTGCACACAGCAGGAGGCAAAGTTGGGCTGAGAACCCCGATAAGATCTACTCCCAAACCCAGGCTCTTCCCAATATTCAAAAATGCAAGGAGCAGTTCCAGAAAAAAAAAAAACACAACAACAACAAAGAGACAAAACTCACCGGCAGCGGAAACCATTGCGGGGCCACTCACAATCGCACCGACGCTATTGTTGGCAACACACTGGTAGGAACCCACAAGGGAGGGGTTAAGGGAGAGAAGAGTCAACGTCCCCTGATGAATCTTAATCTGTTCCACGCTTCTATCCAATCTTTTCCCATCATGCAACCACGAGATGTGAGCGGTCACAGGTCCGGCCGAACAACGGAGCTCTACAGTTCCGCCAAGTTTCTGGACAGCAGACAGCGGCTCAGAAATGAAATAAGGCGCCAAGTCTGCAAGGGGACATTCCCCACGTGCAAAGGGTGGGCGCGTGGGAGAGAAAAGAAGACAGAGAGGAGCATAAATTAAGTGCATTTCACTCAGATCTCCATAACCGAAGGCAATCCCGCATCTATAAATGTTAGGAGTCTTAGTACGTGCAAAAGTTTTAGAAACATTCACGCAAATTCACTTTGGGAGAACACAAGTGGCAAAAATGTTAAATCAGGACTTAATTAAAGGGGTAAAACATAGGAGGATCCTTATGCTATAGTCATAAAATAATTTACTTATAGAGGATATATTTAATATAAATAATAATTTATAGAAATAATTTCTAGAGGAGAAATAATATACTGCTCTCTTAATGAAGTAGCTTCTTTAAAAAGGAAGTTCGGTGCTGGAGAAAAAGAGACTACAGCAGCTAGGATGCTTGCCCTGCATGCGGCCAAAGTGAGTTTGATCCCTGAGCCCTGCTGAGAGTGATCTCTGGGCAGAGAGGCAGAAATAAACCCTGAGCACAGAGCCAGGAATAAGTCCTGAGCACAGATCCAGGAGTGATCCCTGAGCACAGAGCCAGGAGTGATCCCTGAGCATAGAGTCAGGAATGATCTCTAAGCACGAGCCAGGAATAAGGCCTGAGCACCACTGGGTGTGGTCCAAAAAGAAAGCAAAATAAAAGAAAGGAAAAACAGAAATAGAAGTTATTGCATATTCAATGTTTCTTAAGAAAGGAAAAGAAAAAGGACGGAAAGTCAAATTGAAATACAAGATCTATACTTTGGGGAGCATAAGGCTAAACAGAGTATCAGTATTAACACTTTTATTTGGAATTTGGAGCAATTACAGCTGTTCCCCCCCAAGAATCCGGATTGGCTTTTTACACTAAAGGATCAAGCCAGATTCAGGAGTACTGTGGATGTGGTGACATAAATAGTTCAAAGGGAAAAAAACAAAATAATAAATTGTTCTTGACTGCATGTTCTTGTTATTTAGCAAAATAAAAACAAAGCAGCTAAATCCCTCTCTGTCTTGTGCAATTTCAGTCATTGGTGGGGGCAGGGTGTGCGGGTAGGGACACACCCAGCCGTGCTCAGGGACCACTCCTGGCTCTGTGCTCAGGAATCACTTCTAGGGGTGCTCAGGTACCACATGCAGTGTCGGGGATGGAACAGGGGCTGGCAGCATCCGAGGCAGACGCCTAAACTCCGGCCCATCCCTTGAACAGCGCAGTTTTAGTGACCGTGAATGAACATTAACAGACATCAATGTGTTTTTATAGACATTTACCTCAACTTCACACAACTCTAAAATAAAAGGGAACGTGTGTGAGCCGTGTTCCAGGCTCAGCTGTAGAGCCACAAGGAACCATAAACACATTTTGGCTTTTCAGCCGCCCCGCAGAGGAAGATACTCAATCAGGCCGTCATGAGGGAAAGTGGCGGACTCAGGCACCCTCTCGCTCCCCGCTGCGTATTATTATCACAGGCTGACTCCAGAGTTTCTCCTCGGGGGGGACGTAGTCAGCATTTCATTCCCGTGACAACGTCCACATGCAGGCATTTCCTCCATGCACAAAGCACGATAGGAAAAGACTGATTTGGAAGGCGACCGCAGGGCCACGAAACGAGAACGCGGAGCACACGTCTGCTGACGCCCCAGAGTCGCTGCTCCGAAACCATGAAATTCGTGAACGTTTCCAAAAATCACTCAGCTCAGCGATGTCTTTCAAAACCATTCCTAGGGGCAAAGTGTTATATCTGTGCTTTGTTTCCATTGTAAGACTGAGAGGTGCCAGCGAGACGGGACAGCCAGGAGGGCATTTGCCTCGCACGTGGCCGACCTGGGTCCCACAGGGACCCCAAGCGCTGCCAGCGGTGATCCCTGAGTGCAGAGTCAGGAGTAACCCCTAAGCATCGCTGGGTTGTGACCCCAGAACAGAACAGCAGCAATAAGGGGCTGGAGCGATAGCACAGCGGGTAGGGTGTTTGCCTGGCACCCGGCCAACCCGGGTTCGATTCCCAGCATCCCAAATGGTCCACTGAGCACCGCCAGGAGTAACTCCTGGGTGTATGAGCCAGGAGTAACCCCTGTGAACGCCGGGTGTGACCCAAAAAGAAAAAAAGAAGAAGAAAAACAACAGCAACAAAAAGACAAAGGAGAAGGCGATGCTTTGGCCAAACGCCGGCCGCTCACCTGAATGCACGGAAGAGCACCGAAGGGTCAGGATCATGAAGAGCACTGTCTGCGCGGGCCCGGGGACTGGATGCATAGCGCTAGGTCACAGAAGCGGGCAGGACGGACTTCCAAAGCACAGTCCAGGCCTTGGCTCACTGAAAGACAGCCGGGAGAAAAGGAAGACACAGCTGAGCCACAGGAAGAGTTGCCTTCGGTCTGCAGAGCCAGAGCCATGAGGACTGTGGGGGCGGCCGTCTCTGGGCAATTCTCCGCAGACCGTCCAGTCAGGAACTTCACGATCTGCGGCTCCCCACGGCACATACTCATCTCCAAACACGGTAACTCAGAAGTTTTCCTCATTCTTCCAAGACAGGAAGACTCCTCCAGCCACACAGAATCGACCCTCCCAGACGAATACACTCAATAGCTTTCTGCCCGTCTGGATAGGCACCTCACAAGCACCCAGAACTCAACACAATCAGGGGCTGGAGTGATAGCACAGCGGGTAGGGCGTTTGCCTTGCACACAGCCGACCTGGGGTTCAATTCTCAGCGTCCCATATGGTCCCCTAAGCACCGCCCGGAGTAATTCCTGAGTGCAGACTCAGGAGTAACCCCTGTGCATCTCCGGGTGACCCAAAAAGCAAAAATAAAACAAAAACCAAAAACAAAAAGAAAATCAACACAATCAATCTGCATACCCCCCCCCCAAACAAAACACAAGCGCCACAACAGGAGCTGATATTTATAGAATTCCCTGTGCCCCTGATGTGTTGTTGATATATTCATTTACACTTTACCCAGAAGTACCACAAGGACAATGGTGGAGGCACTTGGACACTCCTGGGGGTGGCAGAGGTACAGTAACTTTGTTCTTCAAGAGCACACACTTCAGAAGGCCGGAGCCATAGTATAGTAGGAGGGCTTTTTGCACACGGCCGGCCCAGGTTCAATTCCCGGAGCCCCACAGGATCCCTTAGGTGCCATCAAAAGTGACCTCTGATAATGGAACCAGGAGTAAGCCCTGAGTCACAGTAGGGTGTGGTGCAAACATAAAACAAAAGTTTCTTTTTAACTTCGCAAAAGCACATACTTAACATTATTGTTACCATCTTACCATAAAAAGCAAACAATTAAAAAGAACTCAAACCACTTACTTTTATAGATGAATAAATTGAGAGCCACCCAAGGGTCTCCTATCATTCTCCCTCAAAAATAAACACACACACACACACACACACACACACACACACAAAAGATCACTGATTCCTGCAAGAAGTATGTATGAAGTGCTTATCTGATGCTAGGTATTATTCTCAGAGTTGGTCCAAAAAGAAATTGAAATATAAAAATTGAAGTAAGTAGCAGACAAAAAGGTTCAGTCTACATTCTGATGGAAGAAATGGGCAAAAGAACATGAAAAATTAGGAGCATCAACGCTTTTCAAGCCACCTTCCAGACTGGCATATTGTTTTCCCTCCATGCTGTGGTGTGTCTATCTACCACCGCCCTCATTTCTCTGTTCTGAAATTTAGCTGGTTCAGAACTGTGTCTTCTCTGAAAGCAAGAATGCATCAGAATTAACTTTGCATGATTAAATTCTAATACCAAGCAGAAAATAGGCGTGTCTGTTAAAACTGAAATATCTTAACCAACGGCCATCTCATTTTTCTAGCATATTCCAGCCACATTCCTCACTTATTCACTCATATGTGTGATTTTTCAAATCAACAAAAACTCCGTTAAGTGCCCACTCTCTGCCAGGCACCGTGCTGGCCCAGGGATGCTGAGAGGAATGATGGTATTGGCGAACCCTCTTCCCCACCTCAGGCCCATCCCCACGTCCTGCCTCCCCGGGGGTGGGGGTGGGGTGGACGATACAGAATCCAGGGTTGTGAAAAACAATGAAGTTTAACAACAGAGCTCCACAGCTGACATTTTACTGAGAATGTGTTTTATTTTGTTTTTGCTTTTCAGGTCATACCTGATCGTGCGTCGAGAATCACACAGTGCGGGGAGATGAACCCAGGCCTCCCCCATGCAAACATGTGCTCCAGTTCTTCACAGTGGCACCCTGACCCCAGAGCAAGATTTCCCAGTGTCATTCAGTAGGGCTGGAGTGATAGCACAGAGGGTAGGGCATTTGCCTTTCACGTGGCTGACTGGGATTCGATTCCTCCGTCCCTCTCAGAGAGCTCGGCAAGCCCTTGAGAATATCCCACCGGCATGGCAGAGCCTGGCAAGCTCCCCGGGGAGTATTCGATATGCCAAAAACAGTATCAAGAAGTTTCACAATGGAGACGTTACTGTGCCTGCTCGAGCAAATCGATGAACAATGGGATGACAGAGCTACAGTACAGTGCTGATCATTCAGGAATTCTCACCACTGATAGTACTGGGTAGCAAGACCAAGCAAGGCCCCTTCAGTATGGCTTTTAATACAGTAAACCCTATCTCCCAGGACCGTTCGCTTCCCTGTACCAGGAACCCTAACTAAAATCTATAGGCTGCAATCAGGAGGTGTCACGGCTGACCGATAGGTAGGTCACAGACTGTCAACTTGTGGATAGCCTTCAAAAGCTCTTCTTCAGAGTGGGAAGGGTGTTTCCAGAGCATTATCACAGGCAGGAGGCCACTGCGTGGAAACCCTCTGGTTTATTTGAACTCTCACGTGGTTCCAAGGAAGGACTGACTAATAGCACCAAGGGACAGTGAAGGCGAAGTAAACACTTCAGTAACTGGTGAACGAACAGGAGACACTTTCCCGAGAGAATGAGGACATATGAAGGAATGTTTCTTGCTTGGAGATTGCCAACTACTTATTTATCAAAATAAGCTGTGAAACAAACTCCCAGATCAACTTGAACCTTAATGCAGATAGCACAGCAGTAGGGCATTTGCCTTGCATGCGGCCAACATGACCGACCCGAGTTCAATTCCTCTGCCCCTCTAGGAGAGCCCGGCAAGCTACCCAGAGTATCTCGCCCGCACGGCAGAGCCTGGCAAGCTCCCCGTGATGTACTCGATATGCCAAACACAGTAACAACAAAGTCTCCAATGGAGACGTTACTGGGCCCGCTCGAGCAAATTGATGATCAACGGGAGGACAGTGACAGGACAGTGACCATGACCAGATGACTTCAGAGCTGCCCTTGAATACGTCCTTCAGTGTGGAGGCTGCTCCCCCAGAGTACTCCTCTCTGCCACATTAACTCTGAACTGCTGGTCACTGATGGCGTTGGGGGGAGGGGGGCTGCGATGAACTGACCACCTAACAGACACAAGCTTTGAGCCTGTCACATCTGTTCCATTTGGTAGAAGAATCAATTGTAGCCCATGAGGACAAGGGCCCGGTTCTGTTGCCAAATGGGTAAGGTAGCTTGAAATTCTCCTCAACAGTCACCAACAGCAGCCCAGGTCCAACCACACCTGGACACATCACTGGCCACAAAGAAGGTGAGATGCAGAAACGAAGACCATGTCCATTAGCGCTAGTGGAAAAATCTTCGGAGCATGCCATTTTCAAAAATAAATGAGTTGGGGGCTGGAGCAATAGCACAGCGGGTAGCGCGTTTGCCTTGCACTCGGCCAACCCGGGTTCGATTCCCAGCATCCCATATGGTCCCCTGAGCACTGTCAGGAGTGATTCCTGAGTAAAGAGCCAGGAGTAACCCCTGTGCATCGCCAGGTGTGACCCAAAAAGAAACAAAACAAAACAGAACAAAAATAAATGAGTTGGGGCTAAAGTGCTAATGAAGCAGGCAGGGCACTTGCCTGGCATGCAGCTGAGCCAGGTTCAATCCTTGGCACCCCATGTGCCGCCCCCCCCCCCAAATCCCACTAGAAGTGATCCCTGAACACAGCCAGGAGTCAGCCCTGAGCACCACTGGGTGTGGCCCCCTAAATATAATACCTCTCCAAGAAAACATTTTGTATCATCAGCAGAATTAGTCTATACAAGCACATGTTTCCATAGACATCCATTTATTCCACTTATTTATAGCTAATTCTCCAAGTGCTTGCCACTCTTCACATTGGAGGCCAAAATAAAGACACAGACGTGTAATTTTCCCTGCGTTGCCCCTAGCAAATAAATTATTTTGTTTGGCCAAGGAGGTTCACCACAACTGAGCATAGTTGAGAGCACCCTACGCACAGGTGTGTGGCTTTAACATGTATGTCCTTTCCTGCCCATAAAAATGTGCACCAGCAAAAGAAACATCACCTCACGGGCCCTGCGGGGAAGCAGCTGCTCCAGCCTTCTCTCACTGCGCTGCAAACACTATCCAGCAGGGAAGGGTCCGGGAAAAGTCCAGCTGCCCACCGCACCACATCTCTTGCCTAAGGCCCTCCGGTCTCTGACTGAGTATACACCACCATGAGATCTTAGGTAAAGGGAAGCAACGGATGACTCATGAAAATCCTATCGGGTAGAGTAGAAATGGATTGAACTCATACTGCACAGCGGTAGGGCATTTGCCTCACAAGCGGCCAACACGGCCGACCCAAGTTCGATTCCTCCGCCTCTCTAGGAGAGCCCGGCAAGCTACCGAGAGTATCTCGCCCGCCCAGCAGAGCCTGGCAAGCTCCCCTTGACATATTCGATATGCCAAACACAGTAACAACAAGTCTCATGATGGAGACATTACTGGGCCCGCTCGAGCAAATCGATGAACAACGGGAGGACCGTGTCGTTTTTCAGACCTCATAGTATTTCTCTCAGTGAGAATATTTTTAAAGACCCCTGTGGCTACCATAACGCAGGCAATTTTTTATTTTTTATTTTTGGCTTTTGGGGGTCACACCCAACGATGCTCAGAGGTTATTCCTGGATTTACACTCAAGAATTATTCTTTATGGTGCTCATGGGACCATATGGGATGCCAGGAATCAAACCCGGGTCGCCTGCATGCAAGACAAATGCCCTACCCACTATACTATCACTCTGGCCCCACACAGGCAAATTTTTATTAAAATTTTGAGCTCTTTCTCCGCATATGGCATAATGGTCATAAAGGTTACTTTGAAAATAGAAAACCTTGAATAGAGGGCCTCTACAAATAGTCAATTAAAACCATTCAGGGGGGCTGGAGCAATAGCACAGTGGGTAGGGCGTTTGCCTTGCACGCGGCCGACCCGAGTTCGATTCCCAGCAT